TGTCTTTATGAGTGTGATGAAAAAATTGGGGCTGGGGATTTAGCTCAGCTGCATAAGCACCTGCCTTGCAAGCAGGCGGTAGTAAGCTTAATCCCAGGTACCGATTAAAAAAAAAATTACAGCGAATGCCCCTGCTGAGTTCCACCCAATAGAAAGGCAGCCTTGTAAGAACTACAGTGTCTCTGAGTCCACTTTATTTAGCAGGTCTGGCACCATGCAACTTAAATTTCTACTCTATGTCAAAATTAAAATGAAAGGTGTTTTAGTCAGGTATCGCATCACTGAAACAAAATACCCAGCAACCGCAATTTGAAGGTTTATTTTGGCTCCATTTCAGTGGATTCAATTCTTGGCCAGCTTGCCTCCAGGGCAGAACTGTGTGGTGGAGTAAAGCTGTTCAACACCTGGTGACCTGGAAGCAGAGACCTAAGGGAGGAGCTAGCCGTGAGAACACACCTTTCCAGGCATGGCCCCAGTGTCACACCCATGCTGACCAGCTACCATCTCCCAACATGAGATTTTTCTAGGCATTTTAGATCTAAAGCATAACATTCTCCCCCTGCCCTCCAAAAGGCTCAAGTCCATCTCATGAAAAATGCATTTAGTCCATCCCTAAGAATTGTCAAAATAAAGTTCAAAGTCTCCTCTGAGATATAAAGCAAACGCTTAGTTGTGGGCCTTTATAACAATCAAGAAAAAAGTTAAGTACTTCCAACATACGGTGGCACACAGTGAACATTTCCATTCCAAAGGGAGGGATAGGGGCATAGAAACTAAACCAAAGCAAGACGAAAGCCTGGCCAGATAAACATCAAGTCCGATATCTTCATGTCCAGAATCCAGGTCATGTTGCAGTGAGATGTGAGCTCCAGCAGGCTTGGACCCACTTTGCTGGCTGCAGCCACATGATCCTCCTCTGACTTTCCTCGTGCCTACAGCTTTGCTCAGCAGACATTGCGTGTTTCTGGCATGTCTATGTGAGGTCTCCACTACTCCTGGGTTTTCCTCTTTTAGCTTCACATGTCACCCTGTAAGGGGTACCTGGCGGGGACTGTGATCCTGTCACACAATTTTCCTGGCCCCCAGGCCTTCTATAATGTGGGTGGAAGCCACTGTGGCCCCATACTACTAATATTCTGCATGTCCAAAAGCCTCAGCACTAAATGACCTCTAGTACAGCTGCCAATGGAGTCCTTGTTCCCAATTTAAACCTCCTAAGCCTTTAGGTGTGTTAAATAGAAGACCATATTAATATTTTTGATTGGATTACTGAGCACAACTATTTGCAGTCTCACTGTTTGAATGTTCACTTTGTGTGCTTTGATCCTGTGACCTGAAACACCGTTTCTAAGATGATAGGGTGTAATCTATTAACTGGTGATAGCTTACTGTTTTTTTTTTTTTTTTTGTAGTTCTGAATTACTTGTACCCTTACACTGTTTTGTTTTGTTCTGCTTTTTTTCTCTTTTTCCTTTTAAATAAAAAAAATAATAAACCTCCTAAGCCTGGCCTTTACCTTTTGCATTCCTATCAACATTCAAGTCTTCTGAGCTCTGTCCAGGATCGCACATCCAATGCTCTTCACAATATTCTAGAGTTTCTCTAACTGGCATCTCTAAATATTTCCAAATTTCTCACACAAATTCCAAAGGCTTCTCAACCACATGGTCAGGTACAGTCAAAGCAACAGTTCCACTGCTGCTACCAATTTCTGTATTGGAAATACCTCCATCTACAACTTGAAGAAGGAGAGATTTATTTTGGCTCACAGTTTCAGTGGGTTCAATCCATACTCCACCAGCTCTAAGGCAGAAACAGTCTTGTGAAGCGCGTGGTGGAGGAAATCTATTTACATGGCACAGAAAGCAGAGAGAGACAGGTGAGGCTGTTCATGAGGACGCAACATTCCAAGTCATACACTCAGCGACCTGCCTCTTCTCACCAAGTGCCCTCAACCAAAGGGGGACATTTTAAATCAATACGATATTAAATTGTAAATGTTTTTCATCAATTCAGGAATTGTCATAGCTAGTCAGCTATGACAGAAAAAATAAAGACAAGAAAAAGAACTTGCAGAACTGCTTATGGCAAAAACAACAGGATAAGTATGTTCAAAGTGGTGAGTCAGCATCTTTCACAGACGGTGGGGGAAGAGAAGAAGGCGTTGCTAAGAAGCAAGCCCTCCCTGCAAACTGGCACCACGTGCAGGCTGTTGGGGGACAGCCAGATGCCAGCCCCTTCTGGTGTGCGGGCTGGGAAACAAGAAGTGTCAAACCCTCCTGGTCTGACATATGCAACAGCCGATTGAGAGAAATACAGGCTGCAATGATAGCTATTGAGGTAAAATACAATTTAATGCCTGTAGTGTTTAGTGTGTCACTGACTTTGCAGGCCTAAAGCCTGTAGTCTGAGCATCTATTCAGAGGATAACAATACACAATGTGGCATCTATGGGGATTTCCTTCTGAAGGTGGTAGCCACTGTTAAATCCCTATTATCTAGTTTTGAAGTCCTGTATCATTTTCATTGTTTTGTTGGGTTGGGTTTTATATTGTTTTATTTGATTTTATTATATATGATGGCAGAGGCAGCTATTTCAAAGATAGCAAGATATATTATGGTAGCCATTTTGGATTTGCTATTATCTTGTTCTGAAGTCCTTTATTGTATCCATTGTTTTATTTTTATTGATTCTATTCTGTTCTGTGTTTTTTTTTTTTTACAATGTCTGAAGGTATATGCAGCTATTTTAAAGACAACAAGAGGCATCATGGTAACTATTGTTGATTTCCTATTGTTTTGAAGTTCTATGTCACTTACTGGTTTGTTTCGATTGGCTTTATTCTGCTTTATTTTGCTTGGTTTTTTTCTCTTTAAAATAAAAGCACACAGACACAAAATATGTTCAAAGTAAGAGGAATATTATGAGGGACATTTCTGTGTCTTTTATTATATTAAACTTTTAAAAACATTTTTTTTTTTTTTTTTTTTTATCGGTACCGGGGATCGAACTCATGACTGCCTGCTTGCAAGGCAGGCGCTTATGCCGCTGAGCTAAACCTCCAGCCCCTTTTAAAAACATTTTTAAACATTATATTTTTTATGATATCATCATACACGTGATAGTATTTTTAAAATATATAAATTTATGTTTAATTTTTAAGACTCACACGACTATCCAAAAGTCATATTTAAGTCTAAATGTCCTTTGCCTTACTCAACTCTTAGGTAATAAAAACATAGCTTCTACTGTACAAGATCTGATCTTTTTAACCCTGCAAAACTACTGCCCTGCCCTATAGGTGTGTGACAACAGCCTTGGTGATCCTTCAGGTCAGGGAGGGTACCACACCTGGAGAGACAGGAGACCAGTTCACAGTGTTCTTGTTGTTTATTATTCCTTTATTTACTCTATACAGTAGTCCTCAAGGGTTAACAGGAGAGCAGTTGAATCACTCAAGACTGACAGGGGCCTTCCGCCGTGAAATGTGCATGCGAGAGACGGGATAAATATATGATATGGTTTCATAAGAAAAGACAAAATCACCTAAGAGCCACATGGGATATCTGAGCTCTACTAAGCACATAACTGGGATTCTACAAGGAGGGGAAGAGGAAATAGAGCTCTGAACCTTTATGCAGGGCTAGTGGACACAGGGATTACTTGATGAGCTGGGTCTCTCGCTGGGCTGGTGAATATGTGAGCTGAGAACTTCATGAAAAGCCAGCCAGAGCAGGCATGAGCAAAAAAGCATTTTTAGAAAAACAAACTGCAGGGCTGGGGATTTAGCTCAGCGGTATAAGCACCTGCTTGGCAAGCACAAGGTCATGAGTTTGATCCCCCCCCCCCAAAAAAAAAGAAAGAAAGAAAAGAAAAGAAAAACCCAAGTACAAACAGGATGGACATTCCTCAGAAACAGCAAAAAGCTGAGAACGGCTGGAACATGGTGAGCGAGAGTGAAATCAGCGTGAGGCGTGGCTGGAGGGACAGGCAGGACAGCCTTGTGCTCGTTAGGGAGAGGAGCGGTAATCATCCAGGGTCACCCACGTCCCCAACTTCTCACCCTGTAATCCACAGAGCTGAGACCGATTATGAGCACCTGTGTTCTTGTCAGTGGGCCGTGGACTTGGCCACTTCCGGGCAGAAGAAGGGAGCGGTGGCCCTGGGGTGTAACTGTGGCTGCTTTCTGGTGGCAGCACCCGAGGTTAGCTTGGCTTAGTCACCGAGTCACAACTTGAAGCACAGCTGCACTTATGAGTCACACGGACTCTCAGGGGACTCGGAATACAAGGGAAATAAACCATGGTGCTAAGTAAGCCAATGCATGGCAGGAAGTTTAGATTTTATTCTAACGGGAGATCATTTGAAATTTTAAGCTAGACAGTGATAAGCATTTATTTATTTTTTTGTAGTAAAAGATTCGGATTCCTACATGTTTAAATGAGCACTTTGCTGTGTGTAGAACTGATCACAGGGATAGGGGGCCAGAGAAAGCAGGTGAGCAGTGGTAGGTGTGTCACAGGTGATCCAGATGTGAAGTGATGTCGGCTTGGAGCGAGTGGTGCAGAGGAGGGTGTGTGCTGAGCTCAGGATGTGTCTGTAAGACAGAGCTGTCAGGCCTGAGGAAGACTGCAGGCTTTTGGGCATGAGTAACTTGGGGAAGAACAAGATGTGGTGAACACAGGGTAAGGTAATGTGGTAAGATTCAAAAACTATGAGAAAAAGGGGCTTAGTCACTAAAGAGGAGGAGGAGGAGGAGGAGGAGGAGGAGGAGGAGGAGGAGGAGGAGGAGGAGGAGGAGGAGAGCGGCTTATCAACCCACTGCACAGTGCCAACACATCCTTGACAACCAAGATGACAATTATATTATTACAAGATACATAGACTGAAAATTCTAAACAAAGTATTTTCAAACAAAGTTCAAAAACACATAAGAAGGAACCATATCATAATCAAACTAGGTTTATTCCAGAAATAAATTGACTTTATTCTAGAAATATAAGGTTTTTAAAAAGTATTTATTTATTTATTGAGGGGGGGTGTGCGCCGAAAATCGAACTCAGGACCCTGCCCTCACCAGGCAGACACTGTGCCACTGAGCTATATCCTTGGTTTAAGGGTTTCTTTTTTAACATTTGCATATCTGCTTGTGTAATTCACAACATTTACAGAATAAAGAAGAAAAATACTTTTGATGAATGTAGAAAATAATTTGATAAGTGAAATATTCATTCACAATTTTTAAATTAACAAATTAGGCATAAAATAAAACTTTAACCTGATAAAATCAGTCTAAAAACCTGATGCCACATATCATATAAATGATGAAATATTGAAAACATTTTCCTAGAGGTTGGGTGGAGAAAAAATGTTTTCTATCACGGTTTATATTCATTTTCACACTGTAAGCATCACCCAGTGAAATGAGGAACCAGAGGAGGAGAAGGAAAAGAGAGGAGAAAGGTATAAGAAAAGAAAGCAAATAACTATAGATTAATGATTAAAATTGATATAAGTGAATTTATCAAGATCACTGAAGGTCTAAAAATCAATTGTATTACACATAGCAGCAATAAAAAATTAGTAAGTAAAAAACTAAATGACAGCATCTAAAATCATGTTAAACTTTTAAAATACTTAGAAATAAGTATTTTGAAAAAACTCAGTATGAAATATTCTTGAGACAAAAATAAAGAAGTTCAAAACAAATGAAGTAATAAACTTATGCTCATAGATGGAAACATATACACTCTTTACCAATTTGATCCATACTGCAAATACAATTCTAATAAGAATTCTAGCAGAGCTGGGCATGGGGGTGTACACCTGTACTCCCAGAACTTTGGGAAGCTGAAGCAGGAGGGTCACAAGCTCCAGCCTAGCTCAGGGCAACTTAATGATTTAGTGATGCCCTATATTAAAATCAATATATGAAAAAAGGCTAGGGATGTAGGTAGTGCAAATGCCCTGGAGTCAATCCCTAGTATAGAAAAACATCTAGATGGTCTATTTTTTTTTTTTTTTTTGGTCAAAATTGATGTTATGAAAACACAGAGGAAAACATCAAGAATAACCAAAAATTGAAAAAGAAAAATGTCTGGGGATGTCAAAATCTATTAAAAAGTTATAATAATTATTACAAGCCGGTATTGTCAAAGGACATAAAAACAGGCCAATGGATGAGAAGATCCAGAAACAGACCTCCAAACATAAGGACATGTGATTTCTGGGAAAAGAGACACTGAACACTAGTAGTAGAACACTCAGCTTCATAACGCTGCTCAGACACTCAGATCCACGTGGAAAATGAGGAATCCGGACCCTTACTTCACCGGAAATATTAGATAGATACAGATAAACTAGAAGATACAGTTTCCAATAGAGGGTACGCATGTGACAAAACATGAAAGGACAGCTTCTCAATCTTACTATTCATCAGGGAAGTGGCCAAATGGTACTATGCTCAAATGGTAAAATGGAAAACAAATGGTGGTGACAACTGTCAGAGAGGATGGGAGCAGCGGGCTCTTTCCCATTAACACTGTTAAAGGGGATGGAAATTGGCACCATGGCTTAGTGTTCAGCTGTGTTTGCTATAGTTGAACATACACATACCCGGTGTCTGAGAGAGTCCACTCCTAGGCATACACTGAAGAGCTACACACGTATGTATACCCACACATACATGCAAGGATACCACAGCAGTGTTATCTGCAATTGACCCAAGCTGGAAACCACCCAAAAGCTCATCAATAATAGACTGCATAAATGAGTGCAGTAGTGTAGTCATACAATGGAGTACTATACAGCTACAAAAATGAACCAGCTGTGGAGATGGGATCGGGTGGGAGGGAGAGATGATTTCTCCAGAAGTTCCACACCTTGGCTGTGTGGGCTTTGCGAGTGCAGGCCCACATGAGTGAAGAGGCTCTGAAGTGATTGCAGCCCAGCCTGAGTGGATGCAGCAGCAGTGCAAGAAGCCCCAAGTGAGGACCGCCTTGCAGACGCCAGGCCCACATTCACAAGCTCAAGGAACTGTTGGGACCATTTTGGAACATTACTACGGGGGTAAGGGCTAATTGGAATATAGATGGATGTATTCAGGGGAAAAAGACTATATTAAGTTAATAAGTACACTTTTAAATGTTTAAGGAAATCTGAGTCTGTAAAAAATTCTTCTGAAAGCAATTTTCCAATACTAGGTTCATAAGTAGAATAGATTTTTAAACTGAATTTTAAGTCTAAGGGAAAACGAGGCTTTTTGTTTTGTTTTTTTTGGTACAGGGGGTCACACAACCTCACACTTGCCAGCCAGACACTGCCTCTAAGCTATATCCCCGGCCCCAAAACTAGGTATTTAAATGTTTGCTTCTGTAAATTGCATTTCACTAGAAAAGTAAAAATGGGCCTCGGGGGAAGCCTGCAGGCAGCCGGCTCCGAGGATCCTTTCAGACGAGAGAAACAACCCGGGGACAGGCGGGGAGTGAACTACCCAGCGCTTCGCAGGTGGCAGGCCATCTCGGGCCTCGCCCCAGGGACCGTGCTTCTCGGGTAGGGAGCCTCTCCCGGGCCAGCTCTGCAGGGTCGCTCAGCAGCAGCAGCAGCAGCGCAGGCAGCCCGTGTCCACGCCTGCCTTGCCCGAGTCCTCCAGCGGTGAGCAGGTGTGCACATGAGTGACTGTCTTGTGAACATGCAAGAGAGCTGTCCTGGCCCCACGAAAGAGGACCACCCGGGGATCCTTAGAGTTCCGGAGTGTGGACTGGTGCCAGAGGGGCCTGGACCCTGGCCGTCGTTCGAGAGTTCTGGAGGGGAGTCCTAGGGGCTGTGGAGAGGAGCAGAGGAAGGACTTCAGCACTGTAGCTGTAGACGGCCTGCCAAGCTCACAGGTCTTTCCTGTTTCTCCTCGCTACCAGTGATGACCGTGTGAAGGCTGGCATTGTAGGGGCAGTGGTGCTTCTGAATCCCTTCTTTCTAGAATCCCAGAGTGCGTCAGTTTTGAGGTTACCTAATCTGATCTTCCCATTTTATAGATGAGGAAACCAAGTCATTCCCTTTTGCTGTTTCCTATGCACAACCTATAGAACTGGGTGAGTTTAAGAAATAAACGAAGCCAGGCATGGTGACACATGCCATGATCCCAGCACTTGGGGACAGAGGCAGGAAGCAGGATTACAAATTTGAGGCCAGCCTGGACTACATACCAAGCCCGTCTCAAAGAGGAGGAGGCAGAGGAGGGCGAGAGGGAGGGGGAGGGAGGGGAGGGGAAGGGAGGGGAGGGGAGGAAGGAAAAGAAAACATACTGAAATCTGGTGACCTTGAAAGACCACTGTCTTTAGTTTTAGGAAAATAAGATCTGTACAAGGGCAGAGGAGGGGCCTGGGAGCTGTGGGGGGCTGAGGAGGACCAGCTGGTGGTCACTGGGCTGATGCAGGAGGCCCCTGCCTGAGAAGGTGGCCCCACTGGGGGCCCCAGGGCAGGGTTTCTACCCGGGGAATCTTTCCAGAGGTTCCGCAGGGAAGAGCTGCTCGCCGCAGTGCCAGCCACTGAGGCCCTCTGCAGTTCCTTCCCAGGGGAAGCCTAAGAACACGGCATGACTGAGACCTGTCTCCTCCTGCAGAGACCGCAGCTGAGGAGATGGGTTCTCTCCAGCCTGGGTGAGCCTCTGGGTGAGCCCTTTTATCAGGGGATCCTGCCAGCTGCCACCTTCTCGGAAAGCCCAAACTGGGAAAAATGAGGAGAGTCTTGTATCTCTGTAGAGCGCACGGTGGGGCCAGAGATGCTACCGAGCAACCGTGCACGTCACGGGTTCCATCTTCATTACGCACTCTGCTAGTGCTTACAACTTCCTGCTCCTTTGCAAACTTTATCTCGCCTCCCCTCCCAGCAGCCTGAGCAGGTGGACAGAGGTTTGGCAGCCCTGTTCTCCAGCTGCCGAGTCTGCTTCTGACAGCAGTTAGGTCTGGGGTCCCCAGACGGTCCCAAACTGCACTCCAGAACCCACTTACTTATCACAAAGTGTCAACAGTGCAATTACCTCTGACTACTGAGGTTTTAGTTGAGAAAAATCAACCCATACATTAACATCTTTTGTGCTAAAAGAAAAACAAATAACACAAATGCTACAGGTTCGCCACCGCTGATCTAAGGCATCCTTTTCCCAGGGCCTGAATTACCTAAAATCTCACAAAGATTTCTATTGGTCCCCGCTTAACCTCTCCCACTGACAAGTAACTTATTACTCTGTGAATGTTACTATCTCTACTGAGCGGAAAGCCTTCTTCTTTGCACTGTCAGTGTTTAATTCAACTTCTGCCTGATTCTTAAATTCTAATCCAATTTTTAATAAGTTTGAAGATGCTGTACTTTTCCTCTTTTTGCAGATTAAATATCTTCGACTCCTTCACCTGTTTCTCACATGACTGCCAAACACAGTGCCTGAAATACACACTAGATAGCTGGTACATGTTGAGTTGGTTCTCAGGCCCTTCATTCTATGCCCTGGTCTGGGACTCCTTTCCTGAGCCACAACTTGTCTCCATAGAGTAATTGTATATCATTCCCTTATTTTCAACAATAAACAGAATATGTCATTTACTGTGCAGACCACAGTTTTCAAACAACAGGAAAACAAACATAATGAAAACTGGCCAAACTGTGGGCGGGCTCCAATTTAGCCTGAGATCATCGATCCTTTATCTAACTCAACAGACCACCGCAAACATGCCTTTCAGTGTGGTCCCTCATTCACCAACCATTTCCTGTAAGTAAGACACAGAATGAAACGCTGTGGAGCCTGCCCACAGAATTAAGTTGAAAAATGGATCTGTGAGCAACCTGCATGGATAATATGTCACCCTGCAGTGCTGTCTTGCTGTTAAGGTAAGTGGTTCCTATTTTCTGCTCAGTTTTGGGTGCCACCAGGAGAAGATAATGTATTATCTTCAGAAAAGTGCTCCTGAGGGAGCTCGGACTATTTATGTTTAGCTGTTCTTAAATCAGATTGGTGTGAGGGACAAACACCGGCGGCCGCAGGATGAGGTGGTGTCATTCCTGACAGTGCAGAACTCACCAGCTTCATGCCCCTTACGTAAGTGCTGTGCTGGCACAAATAGCAGTGAGTTTAAAATCCTAGTAATTAATGAGCCAGGGAACGCATAATGAATGGTGTCCTACCTGATAAAGGAAACAAAAATAAATTGCTACTCGTCTGCTTATAAAGGGATATTCCTATTCATTATAGTAATAACCCTACAAGGAGTTTGATGGTAAATAAGTCAAATCAAATATCCAAAAAACACAATTTCACAAAATCTCAAGTTCAAGTACCCCATTATCACAGTCTAAACCAATGAAATTTGCCCAATTTGATTCTGTTTTCGAGTAGTTCTATGGTTTAAAAAGTAAGCAGTATATTTTTCCTTTTTGTTACTTAAACACACATGAAACAAACACCTACTATTGCAAAAGCCAGTGCTTCATATACTGCAAATGTACTTTAGAGAATGTTACATTGGGAATGTTACCGTCTTAAGTTTCAGAAAAGGCTGAATTTAGGAAGAGGCATTTCTTTGCCTCTTTCACACACAGTTTGTAATCACATAGCAGGTGATATATTGTTCACAGGTACAGAATGACAGGATCTTCTGGCCCAGCAGGCTCCCTCACCCCAGCTCAGGCAAACAGTCCGGAGTCCCAGAGAAACGGTAATGAAATGCAGCAGTTCCTGCTGATAGACTCACGGTGCCCTGGGGCGGGTGTCCATTGCTCAGGAACTGACTGCTTCTCCTTCACACCTCTGAAAAGCTCAACCTTTGTCTTCTCACCTTAATCCGGAAGGGCTCTTGGGGACAGCCGGCCCTAGAACCTCAGCGGAAGGCCTGGGATTCAGTTAGGCTGTATGGTTTGTGAAGTCCCAGGTTTGCTTGATAGCACCTCCACACCTGCTACGAAGCAGAGCAGACAGAAGCCAGGAGTTCACGTGTTGGGGTGCTTCTTGTTTGCTATGTTGCCTAACACCTGAGGACCAGAAAACATTCCTGAAGCTGGGATTTGTTACCTCCTCACTTGAGTGGTTTCCTTGATAGAGAAAAGGATAGTGGTCTTGGAAGTTCTGGGATTAAAAATTAGGAAGGTGGGGGCTGGGGATTTAGCTCAGCAGCATAAGCACCTGCCTTGCAGGCAGGTGGTTGAGAGTTCGATCCCCGGTACTGATAAAAAAAAAAAAATTTAGGAAGGGAGTACGAGGCGGTTTGTGAGACAGAATAGATATGCTAAGACCCCAAAATGCACCAGAGGAAAAGAAGGTAATGGGGACGCTAAGCATGTGCGCGATAAAGCAGGAGACAGAGCCCAAATGAGGTGAGAGAAATGATCTGAGAAGAAGACAAGGGACCTTAAGAGTGAAGACAGAGGCAGCTGAGGACTGGGCAGAAGGCAGAGAAAGGAAAGAAAATAAGAACCAATGCAAGGGAAGCCAACAGGGAAGGGCAGCAGGGGAAGCAGCCGGCCTCCTGTTGGTGAGGAAGGTGCAGGGGGTCTGCGCTGGACACAGCAAGGGACCCCAGGATGTGATGCCTAGCAACCAGGACGGCGGGTGGGGACGGCCGTGAGGGCAGGCTGTGAGCGGAGGCGCCAGCGCTGCCATCACGGTCTTGGTGGGTCCCTGAAATTACCCCACAATCAGCTCAATGGTGGTTCAGGGTCCCTGTCCCACAGAAGGTGACAGATTTCATGTCTATAAGGTCAAGGGTCTCTTAGCACTGGTTTCTCCTGATTCTTTCCTCATGCATGTAACTTGCTGTTGAAACTCTATATACTGTCACATATTCATTTCGTGCAGCCTGCAGGCCTTCCTTCCTCCCTGGCTGGCTTCTCAGGACACTTGTCAGTTCTTCCCAGCGGTGGGTGGATTTCCTAGTAACCTCTTCTCTTAGAAATGCCTTCCAAATGGAAGACGGTGGGATTTCCCTCAGGAAAAGCCAGGCCTCTGGGTAGAGTCCCAGAGGAAAATGTCACAGCACTGGGAGGGCAGCCAGGGGAAACATGAAAGCAGTTTCCCAGAACCGTGGCCTTTCTGCACACACTCCTGTGGGGGAAACCCTGTGCGCACTGTCAGGCATGCCCAGATTTGGGCTCAGCCCACCCTCAAATGTGTGGGCAGCTGAGAAAAGCCAGGCTGCCCTGTCCAGTCACAGTGGACTTTAACCAGATCAGCCCCATCCTCTGCCCAAATGAATGACCAACACCTTCATGAGCCTTTTTAAAAATATATGAAATAACAGATTCCTCCTCATCTGGGCTAACAAATGCTTTTAGAACCAACAGTGGGCACGGAAGACAAGCAGCAGGAATTAGAGCATACCAGCATTCTCCTTTCTCTTTATGCCACAAATAAAATCCCCAGCGGTGGCCTTAGCTATTAGCACAACCTTGTAAAACAATGTAACAGTATATCTGCCTGCTCAGAACGCCCGCCAGCCTCTTTTCCAAATGCCATCACGGTTAATAATGAATGAATTTTTGAAATCCCTTCATGCCTTGCATGCACCCCAAGTGAGTTCCTGCCTGCAGGTTTGGATTAATGCCACCCGCATTCTGTGAGTTGCTAAGAGGAAATGCCCCAAAACAATGTTTTTTCCCCTATAAACTGAGCCAAGGCCTGGTGGTGGCAAGAAGTACCCAGCTGTCCTCTCCGTACTTACATGGATCCTGAGCCGGTGACCGTGCCCAAGTTAGTCCTGCCCTCACCTCATGTACTCCCCATCGCTCCTATAATCCATGAACGACTCTGATCCTGACACCTCCTCAAAATCCTCCAGCACCAGACTAGTGGAGTCCTCACCCAGGACGCTGCTGTCAGGCCTGGACGTCCGGGCCCAGGCTAGAGGAGCAGGAAGGTCGGGAGCCGCTGGATGGGGAGAATGAGGCAGGGGTTGCTGGACAGAGGTGGGCACCGCTGGGGCAGGGCCCGTGGCTGGCTCCGAGCCTTCGTCCTCGTCCTTCTCAGACTCGGGCCCCCCATCTGAGGCAGAAGGACCCAGGACGTGGTAGAGGCTGGGGAGCCGGATATCGAAGCGCAGTCCAAACTTGGCAAAGAGCTTCTCATTGAGTGTGTAGAGCTTCTCTGAGATGTCGTAGCCCAACAGAACCGCGAAGAGGCGGGAGATGTATCGTTCTTTGCTCAGAAGATGGTGGAGACTTTTCCGGGGCCAGGAAATGTAGCTACATTCTGTCTCTGCAGTGAGAGTGACCTGAGAGGGTCAGGAGCACAGAAGCAAGGTTTAAACTGGAAAGTGCGTTCAAGCTGAGCGCAGACAAACAGATGGCCTCTTGGCCAGTGGCTTTGCTTTTGCTGAAGTCCCCTCATGGCCTAGGTAACGTCTTCTGCCATGTGCATGGAGATGGGCTCACTCACTTGCCTGTCACCTCCTCCTGCAGCTCAGCCTCCACATCCAGCTGCGCCCCCCACCCCTCTACCCCCCACCGCTGCCCAGCCTGCAGTTCCATGGCTGACACCAGAAATAGCTGCAGAAGGTTTTAGGTCAAGTGCTCTAAAAAGAGGTCAAAATGCAGATGACTCCTCATTTTAAGAATAAAGAGGGCTGGGGATTTAGTCCAGTGGCAAAGCATCTGCATGGCAAGCTCAAGGTCCTGAGTTCAATTCCTGGGACAAAAATAACAAAAACCAAGCACACAAAAACTAATAAAGAAATCATCTATTGGGGGTAGAGTTGGAAAAAGTTTAGAGAACAGGCTTCTGATAAGTATGTCAAGGTGTAATCGACCACTACAAGTAACTAAAGGATTAGATGACTAAATGAGAAAAATGTCACAAGTAAACAAATCTTTGAGTGACAGTTGCCTGTTGAGAAAGAATTCTGAAAATAAGATTTGCAGCAGCACAGCACAGCCTGTAGCTTAGCCAGTACTTACTAACAATCCCAAACAAGAAATCAGGCCGAGCAGGAGCCAACCCCGGTGAAATCAGTCCCTCAAAGCCAAACACAAAGGTCACAGGTATTCCTGGAAGCATGCTTTTACTTCTTCAATTTAAAAATCAAAATTTTTCAATGAAAATCCTTCTTTTTTGCCTCACTTCCCTGGCTAACTATCACTTCACTAATTGGCTCCTCTTAGCAAAACTCCTGGAAAGGAATCATCTCTGCTCACCTTCTCAGAGTCCTCTGTTCACTCACGTTCACCCGATCAGGTTTTGTACCTACAAGTTCCCGCCTGCTGCCTGTAAAGACCCCCAATGCCCCGAGTGGTAGGACCAGCAGTCTGTTTGCACTCTCATGCGCTGCCCCTTGACAAGGTCCTGCTCTAGGTCCGCAGGTGCCCTGTGCTCCAGTGACAATTTCCTGCTTTTTCCTCTTCAGATTCCTTCACTGCTTCCTTTTATCTTTCCAATGTCTTAATTCCGGAAGCACCATTCTTGAACACCTTTCTGTCTACACTTTCGAATGTGTGTCACGAGCCCAGCTCTGGTTACTGAATTCCAGACTGAGGTACCCCACTGTCCGCGCTACTTCTCCATTTCCGGTCCCTGGGTGACGTGGACCCACCACTGAGCTTCCCACCCCTGCTGGCTCTCCGGGCAGCCTTCCTCGTCCCAGGGAGTGGCAGCTTCCCCTGTCCAGCTGCTCGGATCGGAGGCCTCTGTCTTCCCTGAGTTAGTCCATCACATCCTACAGCGAGGTCCCGGGAAAGTCTTTCTGGCTCTCTCTAGGAAACCCAGCTCTGGCCCTGCCAGGATCCGGCCCCCACTTAGCTCCTCATCTTCCTCCTGTGGGCCTCACTCCTCCCTTCCTGTGTTCCTGTGTCCTGGCCTCCTTTCTAACCCTTAGCACACCAGTTCGCCTCACAAACTTCCCCTCTGTCAGATACGCTGTCCCCCAGGTACACAGCTCACACTGCCCGCTTGCAGGTCTTTGCTCAAATGTCACTTGCTTCCCGTGGTCTTCCATGGTCTTTCATCAGCAACCATCTCTCCCTTACACTATTCTGTTGCTAGCAGTTATTATCCCGTAACATATTTCATAATTTACTCATTAATTATGCCTATAGGTAATTTTTTATGCTTCTCACTAGAATGTACATTGCACAAGAGCAGGAACATTCATTGGTTCTGTTCACTGATATATTCCAAGCACCTTTAACAGTGAGTACCTGGTATATAATAAGTGCTCAATAAACATCCCTGAACTGAATGAATGAATCAAGAGAATACTACAAATCTTGTATGCAGCAAAACAGCTCAGTGTCACTTTCTCATGTCCTATAATAAAAGTTCTCCAAAGGAACCCCAGAAATCTGTTTCTTGCTGGGTTCCCAAGTATGAATGGGCATGTTTATCATCAAGTGTTCTAACTTTTAATTTAATTTAATAGTCACCCCAGAGGCTGGTTAACATGCGCATAGGCCTTGGGTCCTATAAAACAGGATGTAAACTGGAGGAATGCTGGTAACTTGTGTGCAATACTTCCTGCCTGTGTCCTTAGGGACATTTGACATTTGCAAAGAGGAAGTGGGACTTTACATAGCCAATCATGAATGTATGGCTCTTACTGCACCCAAAGGAGTACCCTAAAAATATAAATGGGAGGCACACGGCCGTACTCATCCCATGTGGAGAGGTCACCTGGGGTCACGGCCTTTCCTTCCAGCATAGCTTAGGGGAAGAACCCAGCTTTGCACCACCTGTTCCTCTGCGTCAGTGTCAGAGCCCTGGGGCCCGGCTTAGGCCCTGAGTCAGCCCGAGCAGACATTTCCATGGCGGAGGGAGTTCCCCCTGCAGAGAACACTGGGTGCTCAGGGAGGGTAGAGAAGTGTGGGGAGGGCACGGTGGGATTTTGATTGGCGGGAACTGTAGCTGGTGGCCCTGCCTCTCGGGCCCTGTCACCACAGAGCCAAGTGTCAGGGCGAGGAAGGAAGTGGGCCTGGTCAAGTGACACTGCCTGGTATGTGTTGTTCTGAGGTTGGTTTACGTGCTGGCTTGAGGAACTCCCGGACAAAAGTGGTAGGAGGCATATGGAACCCAGTGCCAGCAATATCTGCACAGGAGAGTTCCTTAAGGTGCATGTGTGCAGATGTAAACACCACTACTCTGAAGAAGATGGTCCTTCTCTTCTAAAAAAGAACATAAATAGCAGATTTGGGCAACTGGGCTTTGCCACTTTCTAGCTGAATTTCATAAAGTTTTGGGGATTTAGCATCTTTATCTACTAAGCGAGGAAATAATACTTAACCCAAAGGCATAAAGTATGCAGTACCTGCCGCTACACACTAGCCACTCAGTAAGGAAGAGCTATGGCAAAGCAGCCAACATCTCAAGGATTGGCAGAGAACAGGGACCAAGCAGTCGCCCCCTTCTCCTTGGAGCATTTGTCTGAGTGCCCAATTGTGTTTGAGACACAAATTGTCCCCTGGCCAGTCGGTTCGGCTAGCCTTTTTGAATACCTAATGTGTCCCAGTGACTGTCCTTTGGAGCCTGGGGACAGAAAGAGGAAGAAGTGCAGATTTTTACTTCCAAGAATTCCATCTTGCAGAAGACAAGAAGGAGCTCGGATGGTTAGAGCAATGAGCACCATGTGCACCAGGCAGCGTGCGTGCACGGGGAGCAGGGAGGCAGGGAGAGGAGGCTGCTGGGGAAACTGGGGCATTGGTCTGGCCAGGCTTCACACTGGGAGTGAGGGGCCACAGTGCACATCTAGAAGGGAAAATGCATTTCAACGGAAAGGGCAATAGGGACCAAAGCACAGGGTGGACAACAGTGTGTTGTGTCTAAGGAGGCACTAACAGTCCAGCATGGCTGGTAGGAGCAACATGTGTGGGGAAGAGCGGGTTGGAGAGGCACCAGAGCTGACTGAAGGTTCGACCTTGGGAGCAGCATGACTGCCTGTCAGTGAGCAGTGCCTCCTGGTCTTTCCCCCTTTTGCCCAGATCCCAGGGCTTGGTCCGCAGAGCAGAGTGTGGTCTTGGTCATAGTGCTAAGGGCCAAAGGAGGATGTGAGAATGACAGAGACATGCATATTGCTGGTTCCCAGGAGGAGGGGTGAGCTAAGGCTGCCCGGGACTCCCGGGTACCTGGAAGAGGCCTTCCTCAGAGGGCGGCAGCGATTCCCACTCAGGAGAGTCCAGGAACTGGTACGGAAAGACATAGTGCAGAAACTGCCCGTCCTGACTCACACGAACCCTGGCAAAGAGAGAGAAGAGATGGTACAGGAAAGGGGACTCAATGACTGCTCCGGCGCCCTTCGCCGGAGTCCCACGTTGCTGATTAATAACGATGTTCCAGCAGAAATACCTGGCCTAAAGTACAGTGAAACCCAAAGCAGAAATAGCAATCACTGCATGGAAACTGTTCAGAAAGGGGACCCACGGAGGCTTCCTGAGCCTTCATTTTCCTCTCGCCTTCTCCTTACGGGTAATATCAATTCCAGGCTTCAGAACAGAAGCCCCAGGGAAGCTTTTAAAAAACCCAGGGAAGCCCCAGAGGAGCTTTTAAAAACACTAGGCGTGGTGGCATATACTTGTAACCCCAGTACTTCAGGAGGCTGAGGCAGGGTTATCACAAGTTTGAAGCCAGGCTGGGAAATTTAGCAACTTAGAGAAAATTCTGCCTCAAAACAAAAAGCCAAATGGGGCTGAGGATGTAGCTCAGTGCAAAGGTCCTGGGTTCAATGTCCAGGTCTGCAAAAGGAAACAAAACAAAAACAACACAAGTCCCAACTAGGATTGGGGCTGGGGATGTAGCTCAGTAGTAGAATGTTGGCCTATTATGTGTGAGGCCCTGGAGTTCAGTTCCTAGGAGATAGATAGAGAGAGAGAGAGAGAGAGAGAGAGAGAGAGAGAGAGAGGGAGAGAGAAGAAAAAGGAGGGGGAGGAGGAGAAAGAGAAGGAGAAGGAGGAAGAAAAAGAAGATGAGGTGGAGGAGGAGGAGGAAGAGGAGGAAGAGGAAGGAGGAGGTTGGAGAGGCCAAGAGGAAGGAAGGAAACGAAAGAAAGAAATTAAGCACTGGAATAGGATCAGTGTTAGAGCACACTTGCTTAGCACATCCACAGTTCTGCAAAATAAAATAATATAAAAACCAACAAACAAAACAGAACAAAAAACAAAAAAACCCAAGGCTTGGGCCTTATCACAAGGTAAATAAATAGGAAGCTGCAGGATTTAGACATTATTAGTCTTTAAAATCTTCCTTGGGGCTGGGGATTTAGCTCAGCGGCATAAGCGCCTGCCTTGCAAGCAGGCATTCGTGAGCTCGATCCCTGGTACCGATAAAAAGGAAAAAGACAAAAAAAAAAAAAACCTTCCTGCTGATTCCGTAGTGTGGCCAGGATGGAAACCACTGCGCCAGACCTCTGCTGCCTGCTCACCACATGTGGCAATTTAAGTTTATATTCACATTCATTAAAATCAAATAAAGTTAAAAATCCATTTCCTCAGCTGCACTAACCACATTTCAGGTGCTCCATGGCCACATGCACCCTGCGGTTACCGTGTTGCACCACGTAAATACAGAATGCTTCTGTCTTTCTGTTGGGCAACACATTATGGAGGTTCGGCCTGGTGCGTCTTCCCCTTCTCCTGCTCAGTGGGCTCTGTGAAGAGCCACGGTTTTCACACCACCTGCTTCACTGCAGCCTCTTCTCAGACTCTGAAGGAAGCGGAGTGGCCACTGCATAGCAGGCCCTGCTAGACCTTTACAAAGGTTCTCTGATTAATCATCAGAATAACTCAAGGTAGATTATTCTTCTCTGTGTTTTACAGCTAAAAAACCTGACACTCAGAAAGGCTTCCTGGTGAGTCAAGGTTTCTTAGCCATCAAGAGGCAGAACTGAGATGGTGTTCTTGCGTGACACCCTGTTATCAGAGCTTTTGGTTGGTGAGGGTGGATTTCTTAGCATTGCCCCTTCTCCATGCTCAACAGCAACCACAGTGTGACAATGACAGCTTCCAGCTTTGGACAGTGGGATTCCATGGACTTTGTCTAGGGAATGGCCCTTGTATGAACACTTAACCTAAGCAGAGCCATTCAAACTCTTTCCATGGGCACTGGAGTTGGCATCAACTAATGTCTTGGATGGAGTGACTATTGACTGGCAAAACTCACACACTCCTTGATTAAAAACCCACAGCCTTGTGTTTTAAATTATGTAACTCAGATTTTGTAACAGCATGTAGCCCAACTGGCCATAGGGAAGAAAAATCAAATCCATATAAAATGCCCATGCTCTGATTATAATTCCTTCCTGAGGTCTGAGTGTATACCTTTCCTTGATTTTGATGAACTAGTCTTGTTTTTTAAAGATCTTTTTTTATCCCTCCAACTAAATAGAGAAGGCTTAGGCCTGATCACAGAGCAATTAAATAGGAACCTGCAGGATTTGTACGTTATTAGTTTTTAAAATATTCTTGCTGATTCTATTCTGTAACCAGGATTCTAACTAACAATTGGTTTTAATTTTATGAATATTTTTATGTCACACTATCAATAGGTTTAACAACTGCTCTTGACTTGCCCATGACCATAGGCTGTTCTCACAACTCAGGGCAGGAAGCAACATGAATGCAGCTTGTTTTGAGTCCTAATGGTCAGCACTTCACCTGCTGCTCTGCTCCTCTGCAGGGATGGGGAACTGCATTTTGGGAGAATCTGTCTGCATCCGTGGCATGGCACTAACAGCTGGGGACAGTGTGTGTATTTCACTTGTAAGGTACCACTTGGGAAGGACTAGGATCCAGTAGCATATTTTCTTTCTTTCCCCAGAAAACTCAGATTCATCCTGAGTTGTATCACACAAGAAATATCTCTGTCAGGAAAGGAGAAAGAAAAAATTTTGGACCTCTATAGTATGTGGGTCTATTTGGAGAAAGATATTTGCATTATTTCTGTAGCTTTACTGGTTAAACACATATTCCTGGCCCACTTTCTGCACTCGAGGCAGTGGGATGAAGAAATGGATGTGGTCAGCTCTTGACTTTAAAGATTTCACAGTGGGGTGGGAATCACACGAGTGCGCATAACCTGCTGCAAGTCAACATAATAGGTGCTGCTGTGGAATGGGCGCATAGAGGTGGAAGATAAATTCATTCTCTTTGGGTGGGAGACTTGTCAAAGAACATGACATTTGAACATTTGTGTCCTGGAGGATAACTAGGATACTGGAAAACAGTATCCTAGGATGGGGATGGACAGAGATCTTGGAAATCCAACATGGCGGTCTCTCTATGATCTACTTTTTCTCTTCTTCTATAGTTTTAGTGGGACACATGAGTTCACAGCTAACGACTACTCCTTACCTCCCTGGCTGTGAGGTGGATCTAAGGAGTTAAGCTACATTCAGTGGAATATCAGCACTCCTGAGTGTTGCTCTTAAAGAATTCCTAGATATGCACATGGGCATATACATCGCCACCTTGGAGGTCTGCCACCAAAGAGGGTCAGTCTCTCTTCTTCCTCCAGGTACCTGCTCCACAGCAGCGCTTGCCACTCTGATGTGCATCATGGCATTTATGTACCTGTGGTTTCCACTCCACTGTGAAACCCTCAAAGGGAAGAGCCAGTCTGTTCCCATCTCTGCATCCCCAGACCTCCAAGGTGCAGGAGGCGCCCCAGGAATATTTACTTAGCCAATAAGGCTCTGGGAATAGTGGGAGGGACCTGTGTACCTCAGCGATCTTTTGTTTTCCTTCTTCCTTTGTCCACAGAGGCTCTCTCTTACCTCAGATGAGTTTTAAATTACCAAAGACCACCGCCAGTTAATAGGCTAACACCCATTATCTGAACACCTAAAGAAGGAAGACAGAGAGGACGCAGGGCCCAAATCAGGCAAAGGATGGAGACAGCCCATCCCCTCCAAAGGCAGACACGCTTGCTCCTTCAAGACTCTTCCGAGTACTGAAAGCCAATGAGAGAAAAATGAGGCCGCCCTGCAGCCTGTCTCTGGCTGGACCTTTCCCCTCGGGTCGCACCTCCCTCTCACAGAAGGCTTGTCCGACCTCACACAAAGACTGAGACCCACTCTGTCGTGCTTTCCTTGAGCTTTGTCTCTCTCTGTGGAAACACCTTGTCTGCTGTTAACCGCTGTGACCACCCATTCATCCCTAGCTTCTGTGGTAGACTCCACACTCTGTGAGTTCAAAGACAATAGTTTCCACATGTAACCCCCGGTCCCTGGTCCCTCACACTCTTAATAAATATTTGTGTACGGGGGAAGGTAGAAGGAAGGAATAAGAAAGGAAAAATGGATAAACCAATGCATTTATTTGTACCATCATAAAAGTGGAATCATGGCCTCAAGCAGAAACTTTTTTGAGAAAGGGAGCTCCAGGAAGAAGGGGACCTGTGGGGTACATACATCACACCTTCCCATCACCTCCTCGAGTGAGGACACTGGCTCTCCAGCAAGCCACCAAGCAATGACAAAATCCTAGAGTGCTCACAGAAGCCATTTAAGCCAGTTTATAGTGTCCTTTATCATTTGTCTCCTCTTTCTTCTTCATCTGCTGTGTGACAGATCACTTTCTCCTAAGAAAACGGCTCAGGTTTGTACTTGTGGGAGTTTATGCTTTGCATTTTATATGACAAAAACTCTCCAACAGTAAACACAGCCTAATGGGGTGACAGGCTTTGAGGAAATCACTTTGTTCTCTGAGTCCTGAAAAAGACTGACTGCACTCATTAAAATGAAATACAAAGATTTCTTAGGTGTGAACAGAGCGGGGGACAGTCTGTATGTAAGACTGGGAGGCGTGTGCAGGAGCCCTGGTTTCCAGGCACAGAGCTCTCGTCCGTTCCTTCGAGGTGTCTGATATGGAACTGTAAGCAACCAGGGTACAGCAACTCTCCCCCTAAAAGCAGAGCCCGCTTGAAGACGAGAAACTGCTTCCCTTCTTAGCAAAGCTCGGAAAAAATGACACTGAGAAATAACAAAGCAGCATGCAAAAAAACTCTCGGTTCAAAACTTTAAAAGCAAAAGAAAAAAATCACAATTATGTGCCTTCTAACCTCGGATTTTGATGCTAAGTTACTAGGAAAAGCTACAGGGAGGGACAAGTCTTCCTCTCCTCTTCACAAAGCAAGTTCACTGGGAATCTATCAGGTATAAGCTCTCTGAACCACTGGGTAATTTTACCTGCTTCCAGCAAATGAACATCCTACGGTGCAGGGGACATTTCTCCTGGTCTTAATTCCTCCTTTGGACAGAGGAGTTAAAAGCAGCAAATCGCATCATGAATCTCATGAATGAGCGAATTCCCTAGATTGTTTTAAGCATGGAACTGTAGATAGCAAACATTCTAACAGTATCCATAGCTGATGGGAGAGGGGGATCGATCACTGCATTTGCTTACACTTTCAAATGAAATGAAATGTCTTCCCTCGAGCTCTTTCCCTTCTTGCTCAGCCCAGGACCTCCCAGTTCCATACAAGTCACAACTTGTATATGTAATACTCTGGATTCTGTAAGTATGTAACTGTTTTGTGTCTATTAATAGTAGTTATTTTACAATTATCATCAGCCCCTCCCCCACTGTGTGGCTGACAATCTTAGTTTGTTCTTCTCTTCCTCCCCCTTCGTTTCTTTCCTTTCTTCCTCTCTCCTCTTCCTCTTTCCTGACCCCTCCCTTCCCCCTTTCCCCTCCCTTTCCTTTCTTCCCTCTCCTTTTTTTCTTTCCCTTTCCTTTCTCTCTTTCTTTGAATCAGAGCCTTTTGACTACTATGTCCTTTTTGTCCACCTCCTTGGGCTCAAGCATGCTGGCAGATGGGGGGAAGTCAGGTAAGCGGCACTAGAGCACGACTTCAAAGAAAAATGCACAACTGCCCACAAAATGTGCAGCACAGAACCCCGTGGTGTTCTCTCATCAGGTATCAATGGTCACACTGGGCACTCGGTGGGCATTCAGTGGGCATACACTGAGACTCCTGCCGCCAACGTCTGACTATCAGGCTCCACCAAAATCTCCATGAGACATGTGTGGGCATCACTACACTTCTGTTGCCGCGGGGGGACCTCAGAGTTGCAGGGCTTGACTTCCACAAAACAGATGGAAATGGAGAGGTGGACAAAGGCTATCTCCCTTCCCCCTGGATGTACAGAGTGGCTACACTTCAGTGCTGGTACAGGGTACCCCAGAACCACGCTGGGCTGTTTCCTTGATGCCCTGGCAGGAAACAGGATATGAAATGCTCTGTTTTTGATTTCATTTCCTGCACACAGTTGGTGCCTAACACATGTTGAATGCGTATGAAATGAAAATATTAATCTTACTGAAATGTTCAGTTTTCCAATGCTTATAGAGACATTTCTGCTGCTTAGACATCATTTTCTGGCACACTGTGTGTGTGTGTGTGTGTGTGTGTGTGTGTGTGTTCATTTTGGCTCTGAATTACACATCTGCCAGCAGCAAGTGCACATGAGGCCATTATTTTTTCAGCCAGACAAAGGAGGCCCTGTGATCTAATTTCCTCCTGGAAAATATTAAGAGGAAGTAAACTCACTCCTAGAAAAATCTATTTTGGTTTGTTTGACTTGCCACATCCTTCCCTCACTGAAAGGACGTGAAATGGAAAGGCACGCTAGGAGATAGAAAGTACAGGCTGGGGAAAGACATGCTGGCTGATGACAGCGTCAGAGTGGCTTACCGGCCTGAGAGCAGCAGAGACAGGCGGTTGATGGGTGTCTCCCCCTCCACAGCATAGGTCTGCTCTGTGGCCAGAGACAAGACCTGCTCCTGGCAGCAGAGAATAATCTCCTTGTAGGTGTGCAGGGGCACCTGCAGGGGCAGCCACAGTGTCTTGTAGAGGAGGTCAAACTCCTCGGGGAGGGTATCCATGCGCAGGCGGTATACCAAGTGTGCCAGCTGCAGCAGGCAGGCCACTGCCAGCAGGAAACTCCACAGGACGATGTCCAGCCCACAGGCATTAAACCAGCCCCACAGCACACAACATAGGTAGCCTGTGCCCAGAAAGCCAAAAAGGTAGAAGCATCCATATACTCCACTGCCCCCCATGAAGCCCAGGAGCAAGAAACAGTTGGCCAGGTGGTAAACGGCCCCTTCCATATCCTGCTTCCAGCTCAGACACACGGGCCACTGCCAGAGAAGCTGGCCCACCGTGCTGGTATTGGTGCCCATCTCGGGGGCAGCTCAAAGGCTCGCTGGGCTCTGCTGCTGTCCCAGAGGGAAACTCAGATGAATCGATCTGTCCTCCCAGATATCTTCACCTGCAGCTTCTCCTGCCCCCCTGCTGGGAGGAATGTTTCCGGTGTCTTTGAAGATGAGTGCCAGAACATAGCACACTGCATGGAGAATTTCAAAACTCTGTCTCTCTGCCTCAGCTAGGCTGTGGCCCTTCCTGCAGAGCGCTGGCAAGCTTCCTTGGCTCTGGGTTTCTTTATATTTGGTCCTTAGCAGAAAACGTCCGTTGTCCTGGGAGAAAGGTAGGACATTGAGACTGAAAACCTGAGCAGTGTGGGCTGAGGTGACCACATCCTGCTCTGTTGTTCCCAAGCAGAATGCAGAGAGCCCAGCATGGGAGGCACACTTGTGTTCCATTTGGAATGTGTTCTCTCTTGGCACCGGAAGAAAGGGTGACCCCAGAGGGTTACCATGTTTGGAATTGGAATCCAAGAGGTGCTGGCAGTGAGAAAAAACAGGCCAGGCACTCAAGCAGGCTGGCAGAGCACTTAGCATACCTCCCAGAGGACAAGATAAAACTTCGGGCAAGAGAGCCGGGCAAGAAGGGACAAAGAAAGTGCAGAATTTACCTCGACACAGCAGGCAGGGCACTGTGCAGAGCTCCCTATGGGGAGGGCTGGAGGACTCTCCTGTGGAGGTCACACTGGAGGACAGCATGGGACTACTGTCAGAAAAAGTCCTAGCCGTGAAGACTGGAAACCTCCTTGAAAGCTTTGAAGTCATACTGCAATATTATTAGGCATTTAGCTGACACTCATTGAACAAAGTAACTGTAAAACAGCTTTGTGAATTCTAAAGATTTCCTACCTATATCTAGATGTAGTAAGTGGTACACGATAACCCATTGCTCCTCTATTACCCAAATATTTTCAAATTATAGTGACTGCCTATTAAACACCCTTTAAGTGCCAGATTTACACAGTCATTTTATAGACTTCCTCAAGAGTTACCACAAAAGAAACTGAGACTCAGAGCGGGAAGATGTTTGTGCAGGGAATCAGACAGACGGGTCTGAACCCCAGACTAGCAGGCTTCATATTCTGTCCCAAGTGGTTTGCATAGTAAGTGATGTGATCTGCAGCAGTTCTTGTGCGAAACACAGTAAGCGCGTTGAGTTTAACGAGCGGTAGCAGCTCAGGGAAGAGCAACCGCGGGGAGGAAGACAGAAGAGCTGGGCGGGGTGGGGTGGGGTGACGTGGGTGAAAGGAAGGTGGTTCTTCTAGGGGTGAGACTGGCCAAGCACAGGCGCAGGGCTGTGAATGCGATACTTGTTGAGGGGAGCCAGTTTTTAACTTAATTAAAGTCACCCGATGAACAAACATGCCTTATCTCTCCTCCTTCCCAAAGTGAAGCAGAGGCAGGGAGCACTGGTGCCAAAGGAGAAGGGCGAGAGTGCCTCAGGAATGTCCTCAAGCCTCCCTCGTGCAAGGATCTGGACCTTGCCATCATGTAGACTTCAATTTGGGGATTTCTGTACCCGGCTTTTATGTCATTTGCCTGCTTTCCAACCTGTCCACTTTATTATGAAGCCACGGCTCTTCTGGCTACTTTAGTCATGTGCCCCAGGCCCCCAAAGGAGGTGTCCTGCTGGCTGTGAGCAGGAAAGTCAGATGCAGGAGGCAGGAGCAAAGGAGCAATCCAGGGGCTCTGCCCCAGGCAGAATTCCCTGGCAGGTCATCTTTCTTCACCAGCTGGCCCAACAGGTTGGCCCCAACCCTTTAAAGAGACAGGGAGACCCATTAACTTCATTTGCCCTGGTGCCCGTCCTCATATGCTCATCTGAGCCAGTGTATACTAACATTAATCAAGTAACTACAGTTTCCCGTGCCATCCTAAGATACCTTTATTTTGATTGGAAGAAAAAAGCTTAGAGAAACTAAGGAACTTGCCCAAGGTCACAGAGCAGCACGTGAGTAGGGATAACTCTAGGTCAGCATGAGTCCAAACCATCCTACCTGGTACTTTGGGAGTTTACATTTAATCATATACATTTATTGCTGTTGGAGATTGCAGAACACTACAGGATAGCATGTGTGTCTCAGAAATATAGTGACAGGATAGGACCTGTGATCAGAATAAGACATTGGGAAATTTATTTTTAAATTCAAATTTAACAAAAGAGGGAAGAAAATTTTAATGTGTACCAAAACAGTATGTCCTTATAAGGAAATCCACAAACATGAAAGCAGAAGTAGGGTGAAAATGTCTGGGAAAGAAACAGAAATCATATAACTTGCTGAGTTGATTCAATTTAGTAAGCATCTATTCAGAACAAACTGGGTATGCCAAGAGAACATAGAAGCATGAAAAAGAGGATTAAGACCCTCAAGGGACTTTCGATGCAGGAAAAAGTGGAGCCCCATGAAATAAGGAGGGTTCAGAGGAAAACACTGATGGAAATGCTAAAGCTTCTGGAAAAACATCCCAGGCTGGGTGGTATGTAAGCTGGTCGAGCATGAGTGGGTGTTCTGCAGCCAGGGGAGAGCATTCCAGGAGGAGAACAGAATGTGAAGTCATGCCAGAAGCAAAGCAAAAATACACAGCATAATCTGCTAACAGAAAACAGCTTGTTGCAGGTGAATCCAAAGAGCAATACAACATGTGAGGGGAGAGGAGGCTGAGGCCAGCTTACAGGGCAGCTGGTCGTGTAGCACCTCCCAAGTGTGACCAGGAGCCGATGCTGGCCTCCCAAGTGACCCACAATGAGATAAGGATAGAAACTGAGTGTTTAGACATTTGTATAGCATTTTAACAAAAGAACTTAGAGCCTTTAAATTTAGTAATCAAACCTTGGGCTTGAAAGTATCTTTTTAAAGCACATTTTTAAAAAACTTCATTTTTCTACTGTTCATGGTAAGTGGAAAAAGGTAGTCCATCATATACAGTTGGACAAACATTGGGCTTGAGATTAATGCTCTCCCAATACAGATATTAAAATAGGGCAGAAGCATGAATGTAGGATGTAGACACAATGTCAGACTGATCTTAAGCAAACGGTATCTTCCTATAGCCATTTCCCCATTTTTTTTTTCTTTAAAAGAAAAACTGACTCTGTTTGGGCCGTGTGTCAAGGAAGGTGGGTTTCTCGCCCAGTGGCCAGCACCAGAAAAGGTTGGGAAAGCCCAAGCAGAGCACCCCGTGGCTTAATGGTGGGCACATAACTGATGAGAAAGAAGATGAAGCACGCAGGGGAGCTTTTGGGAGAAGGTACATAGTGAGAGTAAGGCAGCCCACAATCTTTCACCTAACTTGAATACAGCAGTGATGATGTAACGCTTGAAGCTACCATAATCATGAGACAGGATAAGTCTAAAGAAGTACCAAGAGCAGAAAAACACAAGTCCAAATTCTTGAAAGTATCCCAGAGTTTTCATCACAAAATGGAAGTTTGTTTCCGGACTTCATGACAGAGTAATAAATAACTGTAGAGTTGTGTACTGCTTCAGCACAATTGGGCTTTCCAGAGCAGCGCTGAAGTGCAGTAGTGCGTGCTTGTTATCCCAGCTACTTGGGAGGCTCAGGCAGGAGGATCGCACATCTGAGGCCAGCCTAGGTAACTTGGCAAGACTTGGTCCCAAAATAATTTTTTAAAAGGCTAGAATGGAGTTACATCTCCAGTACTGCTAAAACTTAGACAACTTATGCTGTAAAATTTTTTTCTTTTTATGAGTTTGAGTAAAGTAGGAGAGGAATTGCTCCTATAAACTTAATTTGACCAATGAACATAAGGTATTCCCCGGTGATTACTGCTTCAAAAATACATACATATATGGCTCAATTAGACTAAAAAATGGTGCTTATATCCATGCTTGGGGGACAGTCTCTGATTTTTGCTGGACTTGAATATGCTTGGCTTTATTAGTCTTGGAAGAAACAGCTCTGAGATGACAGTAAACTGGGTCTCAGATGGCATCACTGGATCTGTGACATCACTAATCCAGAGCTTGCCCCAAATCTGAATTTCCCAGTGTGTGTGTTTTACTTGAGAATTCTATTACTTGCTGTCAAAAGCACTGTAATTGAGACAGTCAGAAGTTTTTAATAGTTTTTAATAGTAAAACCCAAGTTTTTAATAGCTGAAGAAACATGAGTCACACCCGGACTCTTGAGGAAAGCATCTCAGAACAGCCATGGGAGCTGTAAACCTTTGCTTTTATACTTTTATGATTTATACTCATCTGCTCACCACACTGTGAACTCTTTAAGAACAAAGTCCCTGTCCTACAAATCTGTACATACTGTGTGTTCTTAGCCCCTTGCTGTCAGGCAATGTGGCCTCAGTAAATACTGAACCAGACTCTCATCTCCTTGAGGACAGGATGTACGTCCTCATGTTGACACCTAGAGCTGTTACAGATTTAAAACTAGTGGTCAACCTAACTAACATGCTGAATTAAATCAGCATGGTGCTGAGTGTAGATGGCCCACCGGAGGAAAGTTGCCAGCACAGAGATGGACAAGAGCTAGGAATAGTGGGTGCTCCTAAGTGCTGCTCTTTCAAGCTGCTGGTTCTCCTGCAAGAGCTCAATGTGACCAGCTTCCCCAATACGAATTCGGCCATTATCATCAGAGGAGCTTGGACCTTGTTGGTGAGAGTGGCTGTGGTTCACTGTTCCTTACCTTGAGCATCACTTCCCTGGAGGGAAAGATGTATGAAGTTTAATTTCCAGAAGCTTGTCACACTGGCTTTCTGGTATGTACTCAACTGTTATGGTCTGTTGGAGGGGCTTAGGACCTCTGTGTCTATGAGGATGGCTGTGGTACTTTTCAGGGGAGCTGTGGTCCTTGTTTTGAGTGTGACTTCTCAGCTCCAGTGTAGAATCCTCAACCTACCAGCACAGCCCCTTCATCATGTTGGCATAACTTTGGGCTTCTGCCACTGACCTTTGGGCCTTCCCAACAGATCCCTATAGCAGATTGGTGTGAGTCCTTGTCATGGGTTCTAGATCTCCAGTTGGACTCATGGGAGGCATTGTCACAGGCTCTAGGTCTTCAGCTGGACTCATGCAGGACACTGCTGTGGGATGCAGGTCCTTGGCTGAATATTCTGGGTCTTTAGTGTTGTGGACAAATTTCCTGCACTTTGTGTTTAACTCTGGGTAATCATCATAACACTATAAATTGTGTCCTGATTATAATTGTTTCCCTCACAATCTCTAACAGGCTGTTTATGTACATACTCAGCCCTCACTATGTGTAGAATGAATAAATGAAGATGTAACTGAATATATGGTATTTCAGATTAGACACCAAGTACCATAAAGAACATTGAGCTTAAACTTGAAAGACCTAGACTCCTATCTCAGGTCATCAGCTATTTGGCTTACACAATTCCTTTGGCCTTTCTGAGCACTTACACACCTGTAAAATGTGGATTGCAGTTTCCCTAACAGTCTCACATCAGACTTTCCACAGTCAGAGTAATCCTAGGCTAGATGTTGCTCTGCAAGATGGTCTTATTTTCACTTAACTGTCAAGTCAAACATTTCAAGGTTAGACAAAAGGCACTATTAGACAAAGTGTGAGTGATTCTATAATTATTATTATAGGAATTGTTGTGCATAACAGGGACACAGTAAAGGGGCTAGAAGTGCTTGTCACCTACTAGGAGACTGAATTTTTCATTTTTAAAATTACTGTGGTAATGCTTTCTTTGCTTGTTTAATGTACTGAGGATTGAACCCAAAGCCTTGTACATACCAGGCAAGTGCTCTATCACTAAGTTCACAGTCCTTTTATTTACTTATTGTTTTGTGATAGGGTCTTATTAGGTTGCTTAGGCTGGCCTCTACCTTGCAATCCTCTTGCCTCAGCCTCAGTAGGTGGGGTTACAGGTGTGTGTACCAGCACCTCAACATCTCAATATTATTACTGCCCCTCATCTTTAGGAAGGCTTACATTTTAAGGCAGGCAGAGGGTACTATGAGATGTATTTTCACCTGTAGAAAAGGCCAAAAACATGGTTTAGTTCTTTTCCAAATCAAGTGAGCATGTCAAATCAGCAAAAGCTTAAAAAAACAAATCAACATGTTGCTAAGTGCTGAGGAAAAGAGGCACCCTAAGATACTAAGGTTAAAGAGACCACCCCTTTCTAGAGACTGGTTAAGCAGTCGTACCTTCCCAAGCCTTGAAAACATGCAGCCTCTGGTTCATCTTTAGCTAAGTGATTAGTAAAGGACATTTGCAAAAACTTTCCTATGGAATCTCCCATTGTAGTGGAATTACAGAGTAGCCAAAAGGAAAAGAAAGAAAGGTATGTAAACAGACAGGGATCTACGGAAAGAAGAGCACCAAAAAGTGGTCCTGTCATTGAATGGTGGGGCTTCAAGTGATCTCTTCATGTTTACATAAAACGACCCCTCCCCTTCAGAACACAGGCATTTGATATATATTCTGTCCAAGACTGAGATATACTTCCTTGAGGGACAGCTGACACACAGTAGGTACCTTATAAAACATTTTGGTTAAGTTACAATAAGCCACACTGTGAAGTGATACACAGACAGCACAAATGACATTGTAGAAAGATACTCACTGATGGTAAAATATATTAAGGGGAAAAGAACAATGCTATAATCTCATTAAAAATATGTAACAGGAAGTATGATTTTAAAAATGGGTAGATGCATAAGCATATTCAGGAATAGCATACATCAAAATTAACACTGGGCAATGAGGCTGTAGAGATTTATTTTTCTTCTGTATTCCCAGGACATATACAAGCAGAATCCAGTTAACAATCTACTAAGGATATAAACACTGGGTAGATGTTTACACCTGTCTCAGGTACCCGAGATTCTGGTCTTCACCTATAATTCTCTATAAATCATACAATACTTTCTTTTTTTTTATACAATACTTTCTGAAAGCACTATATATAGATGAATATTCAAGTAAAAATGTGAATACAGAATCAAAGAATTTGAGGATACTAATAACACTGTGCTACATTCTGTGCTAAGTGCTTTACACACATCATTTTAATTAGGACTCACATGTTTAAGTTAAATATTGTATCTTTTTTCAGTTGAGAAAAGCAGACTCAAAGACAGTGTCACTTATTTGACATCACACAGCCAGTGGCTGAAGTGTCATACTTCACACCCATGCACTTAACCAATTAAATTAGGTAAAGAATAATTTAAGCTCATTTATTGTATGAAGGCAAATTTCAGATTCCAAAACACATGGCAACACATATTCTCTAAGTTACGTTCCTTACCCTCTGTCTACAAAGTTATAAACTCAAGGTGGTTAAGGACAGTATATGATAACTGCTTCACTGGCCTTTAAGCAGCTAAGAGGACCACAGGGTTGCTGTACTAGAAGCTACAGGACATTCTATTCCAAGTGTGACTGTGGCATAACACTGAGTTGTCTGATTAGTGGCTTTTTAATACAACAGCACCAGGTTCTTAGGAATAGACAAAGCCAGGCACGTGGCAAATGCCTATAATCCCAGCACTCAGGAGGCTAAAGCAGGATTGCCGTAAGCTCAAGGCTGGCCTCGGCTACCAACAGCTGAAACCCTGCCTCAAAAGAAATAAACAAAATTAAAAATAGTAACACCAAGAGACAACTACCTGGTCCCTAGGCAGTAACTTCTGATTCTGGTCTATCTTACAAAGTAAGTAGGCAGGATCAGGTTAATTATGCCAAATAGTTGAGCTCTTCCAAGCCAAATGACAGTAATTTGGTCTAAAATCTAGTAAGTGTTTCCAAAATATGGTCCTAGTTAAAAAAAAAAAAAAACTTAACAATTTTGACATTAAAATGTAAGTCTTTATCCAAATCTACCCTTTAAAAAGGTTAAAATTGGACATTCCTGAGAGAGGTAAAAATGACAATAGTTCCAGGCACAGCAGCAGAGGGCTATCACTGAGCGGAGCAGGCAGCTGAGTGGAGGGGAAAAGGAGGGTGTCAATATCAGGAAAGCAGCAAGGCTGGGACAAAACAATGGAAAGCATTTGGCTTAACCATCACGGAGATGGCCCCAAGTCACCAACAAAAAGAAACACAGGCACAGTGGCTCACGAAACAAGATCCCTCAATATGTGGTATACAAGAAACATTTAACTCAAAAAGAAATTCATAGACTGCAAGTCAAAGGATAGAAAACAATGCTCCATGTGACAGGGAACCAGAAAAAAACCGAGTGGTTTGCCCATCAACTGCAGAATGGGTATTTTTATACAATGGAAAGCTACTCAGCTAAAATAATAATCATGAAGCTCTTGGTAAATGGATGTAACCTGAGATCCTGCTCATGGGTGAAATGATTTGGACTCACATGGACGAACACTGTGCTGTCTCCATAGTATAAAAAACTGAAGGAATTAGTAGGATTCAAAATGTACAACAGATATTGTGAAAGAGGAGGCATCTTGCGGGGAAGATGGTAGCCACTATTAATTTCCTATAGTCTTGTTTTGGACCCCTGGATCATTTTTATTCTGTTTGGCTTCACTCAGTAGTTTTGATTTTATTCTATCTGATCGTATGGGCAGCTATTTTGGAAATAACAGATATATTATGTAGCCATTATGTAGCCATGTTGACTTCCTATTATTTTGTTTTGAAACCCTATATTGCTTTCATTGCTTTGTTTTGATTGACTTTATATTGTTTTGCTTTATTTGATTTTGTTATTTCTTAGGTGTGACAGCTACTTTGGAGATGACAGGAGGCACTCTGGTAGCCCTTGTTGATTTCCTATTGTCTTGTTTTGAGGTCCTGTATTGTGCTTGCTGTTTGTTTTGACTGTCTCTATTCTGTTTTGTTTGGTTTGGTTTCAGTCTTTTCAAAATAATTTTTTAAAAAGGCTAAAAAGAAAGGTGTGCGGATACAGCTAAGAGGTAAATTGCTTGCATTGTATGGATTTGATCCCAGTACTATAGATAAGAAAAAGAAACCTAAAAGTAAAAAACAAAATATGAGTCATGAATGAAATGATAATGGCCACCACTCTCATTCTGAATTGGTAAAGGGTATTTATTGTTACTTGTATCTATCTAATTTTGGAGATTTCATTGGTTGAGAAAAGTATCTGCTTTCTCCTATCAACAAACATTCACAGTTCCCAGAATGACACGGCATCAAAAACAAAAGAAACGCACATCATAAGATTTGCAACTATATCCTTTATGAAAAAGAAAGAAGGAAAGAAGGAAAGGAGGGAGGTAGGGAAAGGAAGGAAGGAAGGAGGGGAGGGGAAAGCTTCCTGAGTATGTGAGGAACACAAAACGAAACACACCCGAAGATCTTTGACCTGGGACATTTTCTTTTTTTTTAATAAATTATAAATACTTTATCCATTTATCAAAGCTCATCAAAGAACTTCCAAAATGATTTAACTTTCTTCATTCTTCAGGGATTATTCATTCACAGAGCAGGTCACCTACAGAAAAGATTTGTTTTAGAAAGTCAAATTTCAAACATCAAACCAGACCTATGGAGTTAGGGACTTAAGACCACCAGAAGTGAATACCTCAGGGAAATAACGTTAATTACCTGTCACAGTTATTCTAAATCAGGTACAAAATAAAGACCCACATTTTAAAATTCTACTTAGTCTAACTAAAAATACCACTGAAACTGTCCATTACATTGTTTAATCTTAAGAAGCTTTTGCTGGGGTAAAAATTACTCCTCCCTCAAAAGTATCTTCCAAAGAGGGGTAAGGCATTTTATTTTTATAGATATGCAACAGGAGACTTGCAAATCCCTCTGGGCTGATTCAAGCATGTCTGGCAAAGGTCCACAAAGTGGAAAGCACCAGGCAAATTAGTACACAAGATTCTTCCTGCAGAAAGACACCTAATCAAAGGGGAAATACGGACAATGCCTTAAAACTCAAAGATCAAGAGGGGAGCGCAGCAAATGACCGCTGAGCTAGTCGGGCAGCACTGGGCGTCTCTCCTTCAGCTCTCGCCGTCCTCAACGCCAGTCCCCATCCTACAATATGGAGGACACCGCTAAAGGGAACTGAATCAGGCCAGCCAACTCGTCAAGTCTCAAGCAGCTATTCCTTGACGCACTCATTTGGGTTAATAGGTTCACAGGTGGGCAGTCACTGGCATGTCCGGCTGCCGATGGCCGTGAAACACCAGTGGAACAAGTTACCAGACGGGACAGTCACGGATGTACCACTGGTGGTTCAAGCTGGTGGCAACATGAAAGTTAGATGACGTCTAGTCAAGACACAAACCGTTTCCTAAGAAGATCAAACGAAAAATATACTGGGAGAAAGGTCAGAAAAAAAGAAAGCCAGGTGTGGCGGCACACTCCTGTGATCCCAGCCCTTGGGAATTTGAGGCAGGAGAATCATTTCCAAGTTGGAGACCAGCCTGGGCTGCAAGTGAGCCCAAGGCCATCCTGAACTGCATAGCGAGACCCTGCTTAAAAAAGATGAAGAAAAAAAAAAAAAAAGACTTTCCAGTACAGCAGCCCACAGCGCTGTTCCTTCCGCCTACCGTCAGGAGGGCCTATGTGCCAAAGTGGTGCCGGGAAACGTCCCGGTCGTCCCTGCAGTCCTTCACTGCGGGGCATTTTCTAGGGTCTCAGTAAATATCTATTAAAAAATGACGTTCAAATGGTAGAAATTTGTCCTTTCCTGGATTATTTCCAGAGTATATTTTCATGATCTGTTGCTTTTGTGTGTACCCAATTTTTAAGTGAAACGTAGGAAATAGCCAGTTAACTGCAGCCAGGTAAATGTAACAAATGCTATCACTGCTGGTACAGGCAACTGAGCAGGTTAGAAATATTATGGGTAGTCAGACAGGGCCAGGCCCTCTAAGAAGCCGGCCCAGAGGACCAGATGTCTGATGACCTTGGAGTACACACGCACCTCTTGCTGTGGGCCATACCTTGGGACAGAAGGCAAAACATATGTGGACCACACTCTTGAGTATAATCCTTAGGGATTAAGTCTGGATCACCTTGAGGAGTCAGAAGTCACCTTTCCAATCCCTAATGAAGAGTCACTGCTCTCCTGAAAGGCCCGCCTTCTACACGACTCGCTTCCCCATTTGTTCCCAATTTAATCAATTTTACCTGAGCTATTAATCTTATTGGTCGACCATAGCTCTGTCCCACCTCATGCCCATCTGTCTTGCAAGTTCGCAGTTTTCCCCGATTTTAGACCCGCCTTACTTATCTCATAGTTTTACTCTGTAAAATTCCTGAGAAAATAAAGAATCTTAGGTAACCCACTTGGGACCCCTTCTGTCTGTCTCTCAGAAAGAAGCTTCCTTTCTCTCAATAAATATTCCTACTCTTAACCTCCATTGTTCCTAAAATTCATTCTTTGATTTTAGAGAACACGAACTCGTACGGACATGGAGTAGGTTGGCATTTCATTCCCCTGTATCACTGCTACTCAGTGCTACTTGTTGAACCTAATTTTAGCCTTCAAACCTGGGCTCACCAGGTTTCTTCTGACACCTAAAGGTACAAAGATTAGCCACTTATCTCTTGACATTTCTAAACAGGTGCCAGGTTTGTATAGTTAAAAAAACAAGGAAGTCGTAAGACAGAAAAAATGGTCTAGAATTGCCACCATCATACCTATTTTTCCTTACTAGTTTCCAAGTCTCTGCTTTTGCTCTATTAAATGATGAGATAATTTCTACTTGGCATACTCCCTACTGTTTAGGCCAGTACTTGTTACAGAGGGGTTGATTTCAAAATTATCTAGGAACTAGGGTGGGCCAGCACCCAGGCTTGGCACTGGGGAAGTGTCTGGTGGCTGACTCAGGTGCACCTCTGGGCAAGAACAACCAGATGCACGCAGCCTGCTTTACATGAAGTACAAAAGCAGTGTAAAGGACTTCTCTTAATCTACTGAGTTCAAGGTACAGTCAACAGACATGTTACTTAGAAATAACATTAAACTCTATGTAAGCTTTTAAATTAAGAAACTTTCATGATCATTGCTGGAAAAGCAAAAGTTTCCAAAAGTTTTTCTTTTTAAGTCACTTTCAGAAAGATCTAACACTCTAAGAGGTAGAAAGGTAAGTGTTAGCAGTGCAGATACCTGGGCCAGATATTTGCCCAGGCCCTCCTGGTTACTGAGCTGGATGCAATGATGTACGTTAGCAATAGGTCCTAATTAGCATTTGTAATGAAGTTTTAAGAGTAAAGATTAAGATAATGTGCTAATTCTAAAAATAAGTCTGTTTCCAATAACAATCTCTGTAAGGGCGTGTTTACCACTTCAGAAATATTACTATGTTGAAAATGAAAACATGAAGGTTTGAATTCTTAGAAAGGCCCCATACAGACAACTGAATACATGCTATTCACAACTTCCCAGGCAGAAGCCTTTCTGTATTGTCTCCATTTTATAATTCACAAAGTATGCAATACATATATTATTTAATCATTATAACAGTAGAATGAAGTAGTTTGGGTAAGTGTTATTATCTCCACTGATAGAGGGGCAAACTAAGATTATAAAAATTAAGGACAGTCAGGTGTGTAACATACAACCTTAATCTCAGCTCTCTGGGAGGTTGCATCTGGAGGATCACAGGTTCAAGTTTGGCAACTTAGAGACTAACTGAGATCCTATTTCAAAATAAAGAATTAAAAAAGGGCTATTGATGTCGCTTAATACGAACATCCTAGGTTTAATCTCATAAGATAAAAAGGGATCGGCCCAAGACTACCTAATCTATCAAGATTTCTAAATCCAAAGTTTTGGCGTCTTTTTTCATACACAAATGAAATACAAAGGTATCAACACTCTTACTTCCTGTCCAGAAAAAAAAGAGAAAATAGTAGCTTATGGCTGTTTTGAATGTGTGCTAGTTTAAACAACTGTACCACTTTTATGGTTCACATGAAATCCAAGAGTTCTTAATGTGTCAAAAACCAGCATTTCTAAAACCTGTTCTTTTTAAAATCAAGGCAGGTTCAGTTCTAATAAACAGTTTGCACAGCCAATTAGGGAGAGTTAAAATATGGATAAGGAAGCCAAAAACAAATGCTGAGGTTCTATTTCTTAAAAAACAGTTAATAGCTATACTATATGTGTGGCACTGGGCATGGGAACCAAGAGAACTCTCTACCCTGGAGCTACAGCTCCATCCTCTCTAGTTTTGATACAGAATCTTACTAAATTATTCTGGCGAGGCTTAAATTATCCATCTTGGTACCTTAGCCTGCCGAGTAGCAGGGATTGCAGGAGTATGCCCCTGTACCCAGCCAGACACACTTTTTAAGACAGTACTTCCTCTTAAATTTACTTAATAAAATGATTCATCATGGGTTATTGTTCAAATAATCATCCAATATAAAATCTACCTAAGTATGCCATGCAATAGATTTACCAGACTGTGCACGAGGTCATAAAATATATAAAAAAGTGAAATCCAGAGAGGATTAATATTTTGATGAACACTAACCAGAAGTGAAGTGGAAAACACATGAAATTAGACATTTAAGAGTCAAAATGAAGGCTCAGGACACCCAGACTGTTTTCCATTATACTTATACACTACTTCTATCAGCCTAGGGCAAATTCCTTATCCCTCCCACCCTTCTCACACATCAAAGAGGAAGACAGCCACATGTGAAATTCCAAAGAGGCATCAAAAAGGTGAGAGGGAAAGAAGCCAGATTCTCCATTGCTATGAAACTGATATATAGCTCTGGCACTATTTCCGTTATCAGTAAGTTAAAAGTAACAGTGTGATAGGGGCATAGGGGAGGGAGCAAAGCAGATGGGCTTCCTGGAGACGGGAAATTCCTGTCTTGTTCCTACCTAACCCGCCTCGGGAATCCTTTCCTACTCTTAAATCTTAACTTCCTCATTTATTCACTCTTTCATTTAATTAACGATCCTCTGTTGAGCACCTAGTATGTACCAGGCAGTGCTGCAGGTGCTGGGGTATGACAATGTGTGAATCAGAAAATTCTTATTTTTCTCAGAACTTACCTTGTATCTAGTGGGAGTGAAGCAATGATGATTTTTTTTTTTTAACAAACACTTAACACACAGGTGACAGTATTTGTCATTAGCCACTTATGGCTATTAAAATTACAAAAAACTAAAACTATAGTTCCTCAGTCTCACTATTCATAATTCAAGTGCTCAACAGCCACATCTGGCTGTTGGAGAGGACAGGTAGAGAACATTACCATCATCACAGAAAGCTCTATAAGACAGGCCTGGGCTAGAGTCACAGGAAAGGGATGCTTTTTAGATTGGATGTTTTGAAGAAAAAGACCTTCTATTATAAAGACTTTTGAATAAAAATCTGAGTAAAACTGAGGAGTAAGCAAAGTCAGTATCTGAAGGAAGAACTTCCCAACAAAAGGAAATCATTTACTTGTACTGTTAGATAGGTATCACTGGAAGTTTCTTTTAGTACTAAAATTGAAATTCACAGCTCTCCAAAAAATGGCCTGAAGTTTTAGTTTTATAAACAAAACATAGTAGAAAAGAAACAGCACAATTCCATTTTCACTTGCACAAAACAATACTTCCATTTACTGAAGACCCACCTTGGAAACAAGAAACAGAATGATTTCCAGTTACTTCCTTTAACTTGGAAAATGGAATATTTTGAACTTCCTACAATCATGAGTCAATCTGATTCTAACTCAAAGGTGTCTCTGAAATGCTTTCTTGAAAGTTGCATATTTCCCTTCTCAACTCTGCTGAACAACTCTCAGTTTATTAGCATTATTTACTCCTCACATTGGGTAATTTTTAAGTAACACTTACACACATTACATTAATCAGGTGAACTGTCTTTCAATGGCTGCTAAATATGTGAGGTGAGGTATACATCTAAAGCAATATGCTCACCAGTTCATATCTTAAATCCCAGGGCTCGCATGCACTCTTTGTGGGCCTCAATTAGATGTCCACAATGCTCTTCTCCTTTCTCGATGATGCTATGAAACAAAATGCAATTATTATCTAACGAAGCAGGTATGAAGCACATTAGTAAGCATACATGACAGTGATGTACGGAAACATAGCTCGAGTTAAAAACTGCTATTACACCAAACACCTTGGTTTTGATTTAATTTTGTGATAGCTTCATGCCTGTAAAGATGTTGCCTACAACTAGATTTTGGAGGAAATCAGATTAGAAGAAATAAGTATTATTGCTATTAGTCTATATGCAGGGAACAACATGGCTCTATAATGAAATAAGCTGCGTAAAACATTTAAGTCAAGAGCAGAGAGAAGAGTTTTTTGTCCATTTTCTTAGAAAAATGAACTGTTTTTGCCCTACATTCAAACACACCTAAACAAACTTACTTCTAGCTATAAAACATCACAAAAGACCTGGTAGCCAGGAACAGCAAGATGAATCAATTCAGAGTAAAAACTAAGATCACATAGCATTATTTTAAGGGCTTGGAAATGCAGCAGATAATCAAGTTAAAAAGTTCAATTACAAGAAAAAACTAACTTCTGACTGCGGATACTTAGGATGTGATAGTGGTCTGAGGTGATCCATGCAAAAGTAATTTAAAGAAGGAAACAGGTTCTCTTTCCACCAAAACTCTCACCATCCTTCCATATACCTCAAGGGCTGCTGCAAACCGGAGACTGCTGCAGCTCCTTATCAAGATAACTGTTAGCACTCACTAATTATCAGCGAATGTTATATGTACTGTGCTAGGAATCTGATATGCAGGATCTCATATGCTCTGTATCACTAAACCTAATTAATAACCCTGGAGACAAATACACTTACTGGACTCCTTGTACAGACATATGAGGCAGACATGTTAGATAATTTGCTCACTATCACTAAGATGGTGGTCAGCATTCAAACCCTGACTCTACCTCCGGCCAGCTCATACCATACTATTCAAAGGTTCCAGGAGCAATTGTCACTACTGGAGCAACTTCAGTATCAGACTGAAAGCCTCCATTTAGAGTATTATTTGCACAGCCCAAATCTGAGTTCCTACACTCCTACCTCATTACAAGTTACTACTTCTCTACTTTTTAAACATTTATTATTTCTGTACTTCGCACAAACGGAGGTTGGAGGAGGCGCACATTCATGTTATCTGAGAAATTCTGAGATCTGTTCTACAATTAAAGGCTACAGAAGACAGAATAAACAAAACTTTTTGTGAGTTAGCAATAATCTAGACAAATGTTGTCACGTACACTGCAGACTGATTTTTAATTTTCGGTTGCCTTAAAAGAGTTGATGGGGAAGCCCTCGAACTGTAAGAAATGCACCCTGTGTCTTTCTCTGTATTTCAGAAGAAATTCTTAGAAATCACAGGAAGTTTTTCTTCTTTGGTCATATCATACAGCCGTTAGCCCAGTAATTACTTATACGTCTCCACATATTTTAAGTTCCTCAAAATCAGGTGGATCTTTATGCTTTTCTACGCAGTGCTTAATGTGCACGATCCTTAAAAATAACATGTAGGAAGGAATGAAATGACGCTAGTCTTGGGCCAGCATGAACCCCCCACCCCTAACCCTTTCCTTGGAACGAGCTGCGCACTCAGTGCCGACAGTAAAGCCTATCAAACCCTCCGGTAACTCTCCAGGGCGCCGCAGGTTAAGGGAGGGCAGAGGGGACGAGGTGCCGGGTGCAGGCACCAGCCGCACCCTCCCCGGCAGCGCACTGACCACGCATCGCGCGCTTTCTTGGTCTCCGGGCAGGCGCAGCAGGGCTTCAGTGGCTTCTTTTCCTGAGACTCGGCCGGCGCCGGGCTCGCAGCTGCCAAACCTGGCATCTTTCAAGCCGAAAGCAGATACAAGCGCCCAAGTCCTACACGTTGTGAGCTCCTCCCCCACGACGATTTGTCCTTAGCCACTTCCGCAAAGGCCTCAAGAGGACAGGAAGCCCCGCCTCTCGTACCGGAAGAAAATAGAGTTCAAATAAGCGCGTGCGCAGAAAAGGGCAGCCAGGCCCCCCCGCGAGGGCGCCGCTTCTGCGCATGCGTAGAGAAGAGGCTGAAAGGTCACATTGAGTCAATTTAAGGAGGACTTAGTAAAGCTGACAACTTAAAGTGTTCTAGGTTACTTCTCAATACGTGTAACCTCTATGAATGTTCACACTGACGCCCAAGAGAGTGAACTGACTTGTCCAAGCTAAACAGGTGAAATCACTAATGAAAGTCCCCTTGAGCAGTAGACTCCTCTATGGGCCTTATTCCCTCCCCCAACACCTCCCTCCCTCCTCAAGCGTTTCCTGTGTTTCACCGGTCAGGTTAAAAATGAGTAACAAAGACATTTGAACAATCCAGACCACAAGGGCTGGAGCAGTAAAAAGGGCCTTTAGCCCCCAGTACCTCCCTCACACCTTCATACATGACTGCCTTCTCAGCTAATTTGCATTTATAGATCTTCAGCTGATTTCAGTATGAGTCAGCTAGTCAAATACTTGTCAACTATATTAATAAAACTGAAAATATCGTTTCCTTGGTATTTTTTGAACTCAGACAAGTAAACTAATGTCCATGTCATTTGCAATAAAATGAACATGATCGTTTAATTTTTTTCTGCAGACAATTGTTGAGAAAGGAATGAGTTTATTCAAACAGAACTTTGAAACTTTAAGATCTACATGGTGGTGGACAGCTACCTCTCTGCCTTTTTTCTTTCCTCTCCGGTTTACCGTTTACCGGAAATGGACCCAAATCCATCGTACTAAGACACTTTATCAACCTCTTTTAAATTTTTAAGACAAGATTTCATCAAATTGTTGTTTCCCCAACTAGGCTCAAACTTGCTGTTGTCTTTCTCAGCCTCTCGGAGTGTTAAGATTACAGGTGTGCACCACTGAGCCTGCCCAAGAACAATCGCTGTATGTGTATTTCCCAAATTATTTAGACCATCCTTTTGTCAGCTGAAGTTTTAATAAATGTTTTTATTTCGTACTGAACTTATGCACTAATACAACATGTCACCCTGATGTTCTAATTTTGCCTTCATTCACTATTATGAGTTCTTTGAAGTAGGAGTTAATTGCATGGCTTACAACCCTACTACTCAAACAGTGGTTCCTGGGCTAGCAACATCGACTTTACTTGGAAACTTAATATGCAACAAATATGGTTCTGCAAATCAATGAGGAAAAGAAAACAGGCTAACATCTGGAGAAAATTAAATACAACATCAAAAGAAAGAGCTCCAGATGTGGTAAAGGCCCCTGAGCAAAAGGTCAAACTAAAAAGCTAACAGCAGGTTGTAGAAGAGCATGATGTTAATACTGAGGAATGGAGAATGGTTTATTTTAGAAATTTTCAAAAACAGAAATATATATGAAAATATTCATGCGGTAACATCAAAATAAATATATGTAGTTGTACATTAGGTACTGTGGACAATGTTAAATAGATTACAGATTGGGAGAAAATGCTTGAAATATCTAAATATTTTTAAAATTAAAAAACTTACGGTGATTCATTTCTCTGAGTACTTACACCCCACTTTTGAGTGTGTCCTATATCTATCTCTCAGAAATCCTTCTCATGTCCCTTTTTTACAAAATTATAGTGCTCACTTAATACAGTTAAAACATCATAATCTTCGCCCATAATTGTCATACATATGTATAGCTATTTAGTTTGTAGACCATCATGTAATTTCAGAGCAGCTGAAATTTATACCTACATTTATGGACAAGAGTGAATTAGGCTCAGAGATGTACATGATTTGCTGGAGGTCACATAGAAGCAGCAGTCCCAAGGCTTCACATATCTTTCTGTTCTATCTACTATTGTACTTAATTTGTCTAAATGAAAGATGAACATTTCTTGTTTTAAAATTAATCACTGGTCTGTTTAGTTGTGCTACTGATTTTTTTAATATAAAAAATAAATGTGGAGGAAGAAGGACAGGACTATCTAAGAGAATCTGGGAACTTAAAAGAACTGAGATAAGCTGTTAACACAAATGTTGTATCAAATGTTCAGTTGCTGTTGGCAGTTGCAGAAAGGTTTTTTCCCTAGTCTCCTTCCTGTGTCCTCAGAGAGCACTGGCTATGACGATACTCTTTGTGACATCTTCAGCTAGCATCAGGAGATCTCAGGCAAAGAAGTTAAGTAGTAACTCAATCTCTTGTCCTGTCTTTCATTAGCCTGATGTTTTCATCCACAGATTCGTAATTTCCTGTCCCAGCCCTGTGACCCTTGTCCTTTTTCAACAGTTGCTTTTTCCAGCTAGAGTCTCTCCTGATCTTAAGGAAAAAAAAAAAAAAAAAAAAGATGCTCCTTTCCAAAGTGAAATATTTAATAATTTATATCCAGCTCTAAGCTTGCTTTTTGTTTTAGAATGGTGCAGATAACCTTCACACATAGGTGTTACTTTTTGTTCTTTTAATTTATAAGTACATAAGCTTTAAACTCTTTTACTTTTATATTATTATGTTTTATTTGTCTTACATAGCCTACATGCCTGAAGACTTGTGAGATGGTCTGTTTTAGTATTAAAGGGAAAACAGGAATATAAGACATGAAATTTATTGTTTCCTATTCCACTCCCAACAAAAATTTCAATGATCTACTTCCATCAAGAAAGACATAGCAGGGCTGGAGATTTAGCTCAGCGGCATAAGGACCTGCCTTGCAAACAGGCGGTCGTGAGTTCGATCCCCGGTACCCATAAAAAGTTAAAAAACAAAAAAGTTAAAAAAAAAAAAAGAAAGACATAGCAAGCAATGTATGAGAGCTGTAACTAGAGATTAAGTTGAGAGCAGGTGGTATATGGAGACTAAATAATTAAAAAGATAAGAGTCAACCATTTGTTGTACAAAGGCAACTCTGAAATTAGTTTGATTAGTACCTTTGTATCAAGGTCTCACTTCTCAATTCTGATTTTAATCATAATACTCTTTTAAATCTCTGACTGTCTTTATTGGTACAAGTGCTAAATTATTAGGGAAGAATTTGAAATAGTGACTTCAATGAATTATATTTTTACAGTATGAGGATTGTTTTTATATGTGGTGCTCAATGTGACTGCTAGCCATTATGGAAGGGATGAGGGCCCCAAGAGTGTAATAAGCAACAACTAAGAAAATATCAAAATCTTTCATCATAAAGATAGTTAGCCATTTTTTCTGTCTAACTAAACCAAGGTACTGCGACTCTTCAAAGTGTAGGTTGTTGAGGTTGATGGAGAAGGAGTGACACCATATGTTCAGAGAGAAGAATTACAAAATTTAAACTCGTTTTCCAAGTTAATAGGTGGACTTTAGCTAATAAATATACAGCCTCACAAAGCTAAGTATTTACATGTCTGCTTCTGAGTAAACAAAAATCCAATTTCCATTAATAAATATGTGCTATGCAACATTCTCTATAACTTTTCAAGTACCTAAGGAGGCCGAGATTTTACTCTGCTCCTCAGTTTAAAGAATGCTGGTAGAAACCACCAAACTTCTGGGTCATAGAAAAGAACAGTTTATTTTACTAGTAGCAATAGCAGTAGAGAGACTACCAACATTTTTGCACTGATTTCCAGAGCCCCGTTTTCCACAGGGTGATGTAAACATGGCCAGGTATATCTGCACGCACATTAGGTTGCATTAGAAAAGAACAATGAATTTAGGAAACCTTAAGCCTTAATATTAGGCAGACAGAATGTTTGCTCTTTGCTCAAGGGGAGCCAATATCTTCTGAGATTTTTTTCTTTACTAAAATGAAGCCACTACTTTCCAAGATTGTTTCCCTCACAAACAAAGGAACCAAGAGGCAGGGACCCTTTCTTTGCGTGACATACAAGAACCTGAACATCCATGCAGAATTATCTCCCAATATGGCCAACTAATAGCACACCCATCAGTAGTACAGTTTGTTTTATACAAGCAGACTTTTTGATTTAGACCAAATCTCATAAAGATGGTGCGTTAGTCATTTGCTGTCTTTACTGTGGACTTAACGTTGTAGCCCTTTGAAACTCATTTATGGAAGTCCTAATCCCCAATGCAATGATATTTAGAACTGGCATACTTGAGAGATAATTGGGTTAAAATGCTATTATAAGAAAAGAGTACCTTAATCACGACAGAATTAGCATCCTTTTAAGAAGAGGAAGAGACTAGAAGCTTTCCTCACTTTCCTTCTATACCATATGAGAACAGAATTGACTGGCCCCGTGGTCTTCCTAGCCTTCAGAAATGTAAGAAACAAATATCTGTTGCTTAAGCCACTCTCAATCAATGGAATCTTGTTATAATAACCCAGCACAAAGGATGCCACAGGACAAGAGAGTTAATCATAGCAGATTGGGAGGCAGAGGGCAGAAGAGTCTCAAATTCAAAATAAGAAAATAAAAAGGACCAAAGATATAGCACAGAGGTAGATCATGACTTTCATTGTAGTACAAAAACAAAAAAAACAAAAACAAAAACAAAAATAGTGTCTGAATTTCTCAAAAAAAAAAAAAAAAAAGCCAAGCCAATTCTAAGGAGTGTTAGTAATGGGATAATTTCAACATCAAAGGGTAATTATGATGATGTTTTAAACATCAGGCACATAAAAATGCATGCATTCATAATGATACCATACAATAAAAACTATGTGGTTAACAACGCTAGGATACTGACCCAGTGAGATAAATTTGACATTTAACAGGAGGAATCCAGCATTTAACAAGTCTTTCCTCTGTTATCTGCATTTCCACATAACCAGTGAATTGGCTTCTATAAAATTGTCTTTACAGAAAATCTCCAAGGATCACTGAAATCACTGTCAGTATGGAAAATTCACCGTTCTAGAATAAAAGACAACAAAAATGCCGAAACGCAACATAAGGACTTTTTTTGGATCTTGAATGGGACAAATCAACAATATAAATGACATCTTATACCCAGCCAGGGACCATTTGAGCATGCACAATTAATATATGAAGGAATTAGTTTGAATTTTGTTACAAATGACGGTTGAATTTTAAAAGCTGTGTCAATAGGAGATGCAGATTAAGATCAACACAATGGCTGAATACTCTTTTACTAAGAGAGGAAGGAAAAATGAAACGACTGGCAAAATGGTGATTCGTATTGATTTTGAGTAACGGCTACTTAAAGATACACTAAAAGTGGAGTCACTTTTGCCTGTTTTTAGAATTTGCCATCATCAGTAGTTTTTAAAAGCAGAGTCAGTGCCTCCATTGCAGCATCTTCGGGGAATCTACTGCCTAAGTCTCAGGACAGAGCAGAGGTTCTCGGATGCACATGGGGCCGGTGGGGCCCCAACGTTTCAGGGCTTGGGTGCCTGAACTCTCAGGATGAGCCTGGTGGAAAGGTGCTTTCTAAAAGAAAGCACCCAATGAGTCTAAACCGTTCTGAGATTTCCCAGGGATTTCCGAAAGAGGCCAAGGACTGTGGCTGCTAAACTGCTGCTAGATTTCTAAAGCGTGGCCTTCTCTCTAGTTTCTGGCGTTGGCCGCTGGGCAGTGGCCGAGCCCTGGCTGACAGGTCTCCCAAATGTGGGGGACTCGAGGCTGCTCCTCCCGCCCCCTCGGGGCTCCGGACTCCTCCCGCCCCGCCCCTCCAGGCCCCGCCCCAGGCCCCGCCCCTCAAGGCCCCGCCCCTCCATGCCGGCCCCGCCCCGGCATCACCACGCCCCTTATCCTCGCGTGCTCCGCGGTTACCATGGCTACAGTGCGCGCTGCTGCCAGACCTGCTTCGTTGGTCTACAGCTGGCCGAGGGAAGAGGCAGCATCATGAGCCACGTAGTGACCATCGAGGAGCCCCGGGCCCAGGGCCTCACCTCACTGCAGCAGGACGGGGCGAGGTCGAGGGCCAGGGGCTGCACCTCCTCCAGCCGAGCGTATGATTTCCTGTACGGTAAGGGCTGCTGCCGACCTCCTTGCTGGGCTGCAGACTTCAGGGCCAAGTTGGCCTTGCAGGGGGACCTGGCCAGGGAGTGGCGGAGGAAAGTCGGCCTCTGGACTCAGCCCCGCTGAGTGCCGTCCTTTGTTGGGTGGGAGCAACTCGAGCTGTCCAGGTAGCCGCGCGCTCAGGGTTCCTGGGAAACTCGGGTGCGCTCTGCGCCTTGGAGCTCTCAGCCGGCGCCTCACTTGTAGCCCCACTCTCCTGACAATTTGCTCAGCCTTGAGCTGTCTTCCTGAAGCCTGGTCCAGGTGTTTTGATGTTCAGAGAAGCTTGGAATGAGTTGAATTATTTGGAGATGCTTGCAATGTTTCTGTGTTCTAACTGCATAAAATACATAAAATTCCTGCTCTGTTTCTCTGGGCAACTCCAAATTTAACATTCTAGGCAAAGAAGTGCCAGTTTATCTCAGACGTTTTTAGTGAGGTTTTTTTCTTTTTCTTTAAACTTTTTCTTATTCATCAAAACTTTGTTCATAAACTAGATGTTCTAATCCCTCGGGACTAATCAAGTTTCAGTTTTTTAAATGCCCTGATTTTTCATTTGGACCTTAAGTTTCTGTTGTATACATTTTCGTAGCCTTCTCAGGCCTATTACACTGCTAGTGGTACTTGGTAAATGTTAACTGAATTACTTAATTTACTGTTATAATAATTACAACCAGTTAAACATGACTTTTTCCAAATTTGTCTTCTGTAATCCCTGGCTCTTACCTGAGCGATGCATTCTTTTCAACTTTGAGGAGTCCCAGTGTCTCCTTTAGATTGGAATCTATATGTTCTGGTTGCTTCTGTACTCTGGCCACTGGTTTTCATTATTCACTGTTGGTTTCGTGTTATGAAATAAATCTCAAAAACTTCTGTAACATATCACCACGTTGTTTTCAAATGTAATTTGGGAATGAATGTAAACAAGCAAATAATTCATTATGCCTGTTGTTTCATTTATCCTCCAGTGTCTTTTTTGCAGAGTGACTGCTGCATATTTTCATGACCTTTGGGAAGTTTGGATTGTTTCAATAAAACAAGGCAGTGTCACAGCTATTTATGGACAGGAAGCAAAGTTCTGACAGGGAAGGTCAGAAGTAGGGTGCCACGCTCTGCTGCTTTCTGTAAGGTCTTCTGTCTTGTTAGGGTTACCAGATTTAACAAATAAAAATAAAGAACACATAGTCTAATTTTAGATAAAAGACAAATACAATTTTTAGTAAAAATTTTTATTCCATGAACTATTTGGGATGTACTTAGGTTAAAGAATTGTTGATTGCTTATTTGAAAGTCACATTTAGCTAGGCATCTTGTATTTTACCTGGCAACTTGAGCTTTCTTTTGTGCTTGAGCTTTCTTCTATTTGACAAAAAGCTACATGTACATGAACTTCTCTTCCTAGTTTAGGAGTTGGGGTAGGATTTCAGTGAATTCTTAATACTGCAGCTTACCACAGTTGTATAGAAGGGACTCTTCATGTATCTTAGCTGAAAATGTAAGGGAGAAATATGCTTGGTCAGTGGCCAGCAAATAAGTGGGCTGCCTTTGGGTCAGAGTTCCACTGAGCAGAAAGCACTGTGGTTGGGTGGATGTAAGGGCCAGTGGTACAAATGGGAACACCTTTCTAAAGTTCTTTTACTCCTTCCTGTAAAACCTAATGTGGTCTATGCCCCTGACCGTTTATCTACTGTTCTTTGCATACTTACTCTGCTTCGTTTATTCTATTCTTTTTCCTCCAAATATTCTTTTTTTTTTTTTTTTTTGTCTTTTTCCTTTTTATTGGTACCAGGGATCGAACTCACGACTGCCTGCTTGCAAGGCAGGCGCTTATGCCGCTGAGCTAAATCCCCAGCCCCTCTCCAAATATTCTTATTTCTCCAAATATACTCTAGTATATAGCTAACTCCTGCACCTTCAAGTCTCCTTATCTGTCATTTTCTCCTTCACCGCCCTTTTAAAAATTGTAACCGAGTCTCCTTTATCTTTCTTTTTTAAGTGCATCCTCTAACATATCATACAATTTCTACTTTGTTACACATGTTGCTTCTTGTCTCACTCATGAAGGCAGTGGTTTTTTTAAAAAATTTCTTTTGTTGTTGTTGCTGCTGTACATATTCCAAGCACCTGGAACATTAGCGACTAGTCAATTAATATTTATTCTGTTGGGGGGGGGGGAGAAAAGCCCAAGCCACTTGCAGCTTTTCAACCTTGGTGAGAATATCAAGTAACTTTACCCAATAAGTTGTTTTTGTTGCGTAACCAAGGAGTTGTTAGGTTTTAGGAATTGACTCACATTATCCAAATGACAATCAATTACTTTCTATAGAGAAAGACAGGTCACCAAGTTGTGTAGTCTAGCTGGTGAGGGCATTGTTTCCCTCGGGATAAGTTGACTTGGAAAACATTGTGTTTGTATGAAGTTGATTTTAATGCATACACTCTTCATTACTAAAGATGTACCTAGTATAGGGATGTATGTATCGGTTTGTTACAGTATGTAACAATATGTTAATCTTCCATTGAACTTCAAAGAGACAATTTAGGCCCATCACCAACATACACTACTACTGGGGTCTGTGCATAGATCCTTGGTCTTCCAAAAGAATGCACAGCGAAGGCCCAAGCAAATGACACAAATGGTATGATCTTTAGGGCTCCAGGAGGACCAAAATCCTCTTCAGAGTTCCTAACTTGGATGAGTGTGTGAGAGAGAGACCATGTCTCTGCATGGCTTGTATTTAGTCAGCATCCACACAAGGAAGGGGTTAGAGTGGAAAACGCAGGAAAACTGAGCAGGACCTTGGGAGGGGTTCAAGGACCCCTCCAAACAACAGACGATGCTAATTAAAGAGAACTATCCTGGAAGAAAGTCTCCAGGTGTCCTCAGCTGTGGCTGTCTCGCCCCCTCAGGAGTGTCCTTGTGCTCAGTTTAGCCATGCTGGGCCGTGTGTGCTACAGCCCTGCTGTGTATTCAGCTTCAACAGCTCCAATGTATCCTCCCTTTTGTTTTGCTGTTGCTCAGGATAGGTGGCCGGCTGAAGTTGGAGAAGCCGTGTTAGAAGAACTCCCGTAATTTAAACCCTGTACAGCCCATCCATCTATAACAATAATCCATTACCAGTGTAGCCAGCAACTGTCAGGAGGGGTTAGTGATCTGAGCTTCTTTTACAGCTAACATTTCACCATGGCCTTGCACTACACCTTCTGAAGTTATTCTTTTCTGCAGGAGGCTCAGGTTAAGATGAGACCTGTATCAAATACGATCAGTTCCTTACTATCTATCAAGGTCAGTTAGGTTTCCTCAGGCATGGCCTTGGAACCATGCATAGCACCTTTTGGCTCTTTGGTCAGCGTCAACCATCAGGATGAGTCGTGGCCATTGCTTGACCAAGTTGCTTTTGAAGAAAGCTTGGGAGATTTTTTTCTCTTGGTAACTCTCTTTAGGCACACCATACACTGAAGGTCACTTTCTTCCGTGGTCTCATAATCTTCTTGATCCAAAGACCAGGGGCTCACTCCATGTTGTAAGACGACACAGCAGAGGTTCTTCTATGTCTTGAGTCCTCGCTGACTTTGAAGGGCTGGGGCCAAAATATTGGCTCTCCTCTTAACCCATTGGTCTCTCTAATTTTTGGTCTCCAAACCTCAGTTGTTTGAACATCCAGAAGAAAAGGTTAATAACAATACAATGTATCAGAGGCGCTAAGCTTAACATTACCATCTTAGCTAAATATGAAACACTTTAGAACATTAAATGAAACTTATTTTCTACTATCCATGGATATTTTAACATTTGAATACCTATAAGGTGTTAACAGTTACATATTTATACAGTAAATCAGGAATCAAAACTGTACATACCATTGTATTATAACAATTATGACATTTTTGTAACAATCTGAATTTCCATTTTGACATAAAATACCCCTTTTAGTTAATCATCCCTATCTAATACATAAGAAGCTTCTATCCAACTTATTGATTTTTAGTGGACTGTGAATCTCACAAGTATTTGGTACTAGCAGAGGTCTGAACATGAAACAAAAATCTATTGCCATAAATAATCCCCGTTTTACAATTTGGAAAACTAGTATATCTGGAAGCATGAATAATATACCATGAGGTTAATAACAATCATTTGTCACAGCCATATGAAACCTTTGTATCAGAGCATCTTTAAGTAAAAAACTTACTGTATCAGTAATTAATTAATTAATTTTTGATGATGACCAATGTGAACATACCACAATAATATATTTTATAACTTTGGTTGGGATGGCTTCCATAAGGATATGGAGAAGATCAATATGGCCTCCAATAAATAAACAAGAACTGGTTCAAAATGTTACCAGGCACCTGCTTTCTTATTTATCAATTGGAATCCTGTCCAACAATCCCACCCCCAAGGGATTTTGTTTACTCATCTTCCAGTCTTTGCCTCATTTGGACCAGCTGGCAACCCAGGTGGAAGCATGCTTTATAAATCTATAACCCAAACAAATCTTTGATTCAAAAATGCAAAAGAAAAAGGAAAAAAGAGAAAAATTGTTGAATGCAAAATAAAAGGAACAGCTGTTTACCGAGTGGACAAATGGACAAACATGAACAGATGATCTGATAGGTGATCTGACAAGCACACAGCTTGTCTGGGTCTGTGAGAACTCTCTAAGTTCCCCAAGGGCTATTTATGTACTCTTACTATGCCCCTTTGCTGACCTAGCTAGATTCCTATTTTCCTGTGTTCTCGGGTTGGGACACTGATTCACCTCCTGTTTCCACTTGGTACTCCTTTGTGGGCACTTGTGCTTTTGGCTTCACTCGTGTGAACAATCATTACCTCATTTGACTTCAACAACTTCTTTCAAACAGACTGGACAGACAACAAAAACACAGACTAACAAACATCTTACAAAATCAGAGTGTATTCAAATATATTTTTAACCAAATTGAATTATAGTAATTTCTTACAAATCTAGAATTTACAACTATAATTGACTAGTCAGAATTGTTGTAGGTCAATTAGCAGAGAGGTCTTTTGTCTTAGAAATTTAGAATTTACTATTAGGAAGGTAAAGACATCTGAACTTTCTGATTTGGTTTCCAATTAAGAAATCACATTGTTTACCATTATTCTCATGCTCAGAGCAGATATGTCCTATTCCTTATGGTACTCTATTGTTTGTTTTACAGATCCATTGTTTATTGTGTCAAGTGAGAAAGACCACACTCAGGCAAATATCCAAGCCACCCTGGCTCGAAACGGACTGGTATGTCTATCATCTACGAAGGCAGCCTAGTGACTCCGAACCATGGCTAACTGTGTTGATCAGATTTGCTCATCGCCATCTCTCTGCTGGATTTTAGGTTCCACAGAAAGAACTTCCTATGTTTACTAGAAGGGAAAGGCATCTTATTACTTGTGGCCCTTTGTAAGGATTCATTAATAGTGAATCAAAGACCCACAAACTAATTTATTTCAATGGAAATAATATATATGCCTTTGTCAAGAGAATTTAAGTATTACAAAAGCACAAAGAATATGAAGGAATTCTAGCCGTAGTCCCTGTCACGTGAACAGCCATGGTACCAGTTTCTTGGGTATCCTTTTAGAGATATTCTATGCAAACACCAGTAACAACTCCTCTTACGGTATATACTCATCATGTGTCTTTTTTAAAAAATATATTTGCAACATAATTTAAATGCTTTGCAAAAATCTGATAGTATAATTTTGTCCTTTTCCTCCCTGCCTCTATCTCCTAACATTAGAGAAAGGTTCCCAGGTTTAGAACTATGTTCAGTAACCTGGTGCATTATCCGAGATATTCTCTGTCCTGGAGCAAGTCAGATCCGGTGCCACCTTTCATCAGCCGAGAATGGAAGGGGCACATGGAGAAACAGAAGGAAGCCCTCCAGCAGCTGGCCTCGTAAGTGTCACACACTGCAGCGCCTAACCATTCTCATGCCTTTAATGGAGTGTTTTTATTTCTTTATTTTACTCTGCATGACCTGAAAATTTTCAGTTGTGATGTTATACTAAGGCCAAATTCACTCTAAGTCACTTTTTTCATAGCAAACCTGATTAGGGAGTAAAGGTTATCCATTTATTGGTAGGTAGAGGTCCTCAGAAGGTTAATGTGACCTATCTATATCTATATCCATATCCATATATATCTACTTATTATCTATATACAACTGTCTTCTATCTAGATACTACAAACATATGTACTATAAAATATTATAAACTTTATATATATATGTATATATACTACATACCATATACTATGCCCATGTTTTAAAATAGAAATACTATTTTTGTTAGTATATGTTTTTAACACATAATAATTAGCTTCCCCCTGGCGAGCTGGGATATATGCATATATATTGCATCTTGGTAATTTTTACTATCCCTTCCCAGCCTCCTTGTATGCCTAAATTTGTTGTTGTTTGCCACTGATGATAGGGATGACTGAGTTTGTTATTTTTTGATCTACCTTAGAAATCCCAGTTGCTCCTTTTTGTTAGTGTCTAAAATATTTTTTGGAAAACCTACAGCCAGAGTATCTTCAAAAATAAGTTTTCTGACATCTTAGTTTTTAATTACTTATGACTTCATATTTAGTAAATTAACAAGTAATAATGTCTTCCAGGCCAAATATAAAAATTATCTTTTGAAGCTTTGTTACTCTCATGTACTTTTGATTAAAAGTAGGCATTTTTGTATGTGAGATTTCATAAATCTATTCATGTACTCATTCTCCCTTCCCCTTACTATGGCAGGTCCTGATGTCCTGGGCCAGAAGTAATCATAGCTTGTCTAAGATGTAGGCCCACTGAAACATGGTATAGAAGACTTTGCTCTTAGTATGAGGTGCTCTGTGTGTCTCCTACCACATATGTATGGAGACATTAATTAGGAATCGTATGTGAAGTAACAGGCTAAATAATGTTTTCCTGCTTTGTTTTAGAACTGACCCTTCTTTTCAGATGTTTAAAGAAATTGATGAGGATCCTGACGTCACTGGAAAGAATCGCTATAAATACTTTGACAGGTAGAAAGTCATGACTAATGAGCATTTGAGCGCTGGTACTGTTTGAAAAACAAAACTCTGTAACAGTGATTGCAGCTATCATTTTTGAGTGCATGTAGTATCCCGGGCACTATTTTAAGTGTCCTACACATATATGCTGTACTCTGCACAACTGAAACGTTGGAGAAGGTATACAGTGTCCTCACTTTACATTAAGGAAGCTAAAACTGAGAGGGAAAGTGGATTGCTGAAAGTCACAGAAGTTAGCAAGTGGCAGAGCTCGATTCTAATTCAGAGGTACTGATTGCAGCTGGACATAAAAATTATCCAGCAAAATTAGGTCATCAAATGAGGTGACACTTACACAAAACCACAGCACAGGGAAAACTTAAAACTTTTCAAGTGGACAACATTTGCTTGCTTTGTCTGAGCACTGCCAAAACCAACGTATCAAAGATTCCCTTTAGTTCATCTGTGACTGATACACATGGGGTAATTACATACCCAAATCAAATTAAAGTGATATTTTTTTCCCCTGTAGGTTTTACTTGGGTTAGAAAAGTAATGTTGGTATCACATCCACATAAGCTTCCTTGAGAAAGTAACTTTCTAATCCACATTTTTATTTATGAGTAACCTCCTTATGGAATTTTTCCCTTTTCTTTTTAATTTGTTTGTTTTTTGTCTTTTTTTTTTTTTTTTTTTTGTCTTTTTGAGACAATTTCTTGCTGTGCAGTTCAGGCTGGCTTTGAGCTGATTTTGTAGCTCAGGTTGGTCTCAAACTCTCAACAATCCTCCTGCCTCAGCCTTCCAAGTGCTTGGATTATAGGCATGAACCACCGTGCCTGGCTTCTTATGGCATTTTTTGATGCTGATTTTCCCAGAGAAATGTTGTGTTCTTAAACAAAATATATTCAATTCCTAAACTTTTTAGGGGAAGCTTTAAACTAAACCATTGGGAATTTTCAAAACATCTCAGGGAATTTGAGATGCTGATACTAATGGCCAGCTAGAGCTAGAGCACTTTCTGGAAATGTGGCTTGCTTGCCATCTACAGAGAAGATGCTGGTATGCTTATCGAGACTGAAGATTCATTGTCTGTACCCTACAGCTCCCAAATCTCCTGGACCAGGCCTAGCAATTTGCATTTTAAACAAAAACTTCCACCAATGGTTTTGTATGTACAAATGTCTGAGTAATACCAATACAAAGGACATTTAAACACATTGTGTTTTAAGGAGTAAATATTAAATTTACAAGAAAGCTTAGTGTATACTCAATGCAAAATCTCATATTTTTTCTTTTTCTGCCAGGCCTTTCCTTCCATTTGTTCAGCAGATGCCACTCAATGTTCTTTTTGCAGCAACCAAGTAAGTGACAATTATTTCAAAAATCTCTTTACAATTTGTTATTTGCTTTCAGAAGGTAGTTTGCCAAATCTGTATTTTCAAACTGTGCACCAAAAATCATTAAAAGGTAAACAAGAACTCGCCCTCTGCCTTCAGTCATCTGTTAAAGTTTGAATATTACTAATACATGGGGTATTCCTATCTTTCTTATTATGAGTTGTTTTAGTCTACTTGTGCTGCTATAACAAGATAAGAAGTATTTATTTCTCACAGTTCTGGAGGTTAGGAAGTCCTGTATCAGAGCACCAGGACTTGGTGTCTGGTGAGGTCCTCCTGCCGTGTCCTCACCTGACTAAAGGGATGGATGCCCTCACACTGTAAAGACAAAAAGACCAGGGGCCCTTCAGATCTTTTATAAAGCACGAGTCTGTTCATGAAAGCTTATCAGTCCCCATGAAGGCTTCAGTAAATTGTGAACTAAGCTTCAGTCTGAATTTTGGAGGGAATATACAGTTAGACCATGGCAGTTGTGGTTAAGGAAAAAAGTTGGGAAATGCTTTAAATGGCCTCTTTCCTTCCCTGAAACACACCCTCATTCAATGTCAATTCTTCAGTATTTTATTAGAAAAACTGAACAGTCCTAAAATGTTCCAGGGCTGCTAGAATTTTATGATCTGATAGCCGTCTGACTTACACAGGGCGACGCGGTGCACAGAGCTGGGCGAAGCGTGGTTTATGCCACACAAAGGAGGGGAGAGCAGTGAAAGGGAAGGACAGGGCTACGGCTGGTCTGGGGCTGCTGGCTTTAATTTCAGGGCTGCACAGCAGGCTAGATACAGTATTTCTTATAAAATCTAGTTTTTGCTATACTCTTTACCTTATTATAATTTGACACTGCACTTCTGTAGGAGAAAAAATATTCAGCGGATTCATGGAATGATGAAGAAAAGAAGCCTGTGTTAAAGGGCTCGAGTTCTGGGTAGAAATGTGCTTAGGACTGAGTTTCAAGCCTGCATTTAAAAGAAACTGTGTTTCCTAACCATATATAACACCGTGTGAATAGGACATATGTTATTGAATGTCTGTAACCCTCAAAATCAATGCCGATTGTGATCCCACTTCTTCCATGAATTTCTAAGACAGTGAAATGGGGAACAGATTCCCTCCTCTCCCCAGACGAGCCGCTCTGTAAGGTGCCCTGGTTTGCCCCCTGGGGCAGCTGAGGACTTGTATTCTAGAAAGCTTTGTGTGAGCCAAGAGGGAGCTGTGAGGTAGGCATGTGCTTCTAGATCCCTCCATAATTCTTTAAAAGCAGGCTCTCTGGCCAAGTGTTTTGGAGGTCATAGATGCCTCCCGTGTAAACTTTGTCACACTAATTACAGAGAGCTCAGGGCCCATCGTGATTAATACCGTGACTCTTCCTCCTCCGTCCTGAGCAATGGTACATAAGGGATAAAGACTTTCTCCAGAAGTTAAACCATCGCATTTGGCATTCTAGCTAGTATCTGTATCTCTTAGAAGTTTTTAAAGAACAGATGAGTGTTTCTGAGTGACATCAACCTTGTGAGTTCTGGCAAGTTTGAGCTTCTGAGCTTCGAGGAAAGCCCGGCTTGTGGTAGTCAGCTGGGAAGGACTTGGGGGAGCTGCCACCTGGCTTCTTCATCTGCACTCTCGCTGTGGCTAGTGTGCCTGGATTCTGTGTAAACATCTTGGCACTGAGAATAAGAAGTGAATGCTTTAAAAGCATGCAATTATAATAGCAATGAATTTATATTAAAAGCAGTGAATTTATAATGTCAACATTATTGCTAGGTCTGGGAAGCAGGCAAAATGGAGAGAGACAGGGGCGTGGCACGTGTGGCGGTAGGGGTGGACTGCTGGCTCTGGGTGGGCAAGGAGAGGGAATAGAGCTGTTGTGAGGACCTCTGAGCCAGAGCATGAGCCACAGGGTGCCCCAGCAGGGGTCAAGCCATGTCCCAGCAGATGTAGCGTTTTCTGGGTCCAAATCTTCCATTAAACTTGGGGAGAAGGAATCATTCAGCTTTTACTCTTCTCTCAAACCAACTGAAATGGGGAAAAAAGGACGGGCTGGGGATAGCAAGAAGCCTGTTAGGAAACTGCATACTGAGTCACAGGAGGATTTATGTCCTCTTTTGCATCGTTTTCTTGAATCCTCCTAAAAGATACCAAAGCACCGGGAAAATTCATCAGTGGAATCTACTGGGCCTCATCACATTAAAAGAACACTGAACTAGATGGTTCTAATGAGTAGTTTGCAAAAATAATTTATTCTCTTGACGAAAGCTAATAGGATGAAAATATAATAAGCTTCCAGGTAATTTTCATAATATAAAACTGACTTGTAATTTTCAAAACCAGCGGTTTATTTGTTTGTTCATTTTAGTATTGGGATCAAACCCAGTGCCTTTACCTTGAGCTACATGCCACCCTCTCCCCCTTTATTGTGAGACACGTTCTTGCAAAATCACTGAGTTGCCCAGACTGGGACCCAACTTGTGATCCCCTTGCTTTAGCCTCGCTGTGTACTGGGATTACAGGTGTGCACTGCTGCACCTGGCTTCAAATAAAATTTTAACATCATTTCTGCTGAAAACATAGGAAGCTATAAATACCTATATTGCCTACATGTGTTTAAAATTCATACCAATTTCTTGAAAAGTGATTTTAACACTTCTGAGAGTTTAGCATTAAAAACATTCAAAGTGCTTTTCCCATCGCAGGTCAAACCTCCAAACAAAAATGAAACACATTTTTCGTAAGATTTAAGCTGTTGAATATGCTGTGCTCTTAAATAAGTACTTACGCTTGCCTTGCTTCTCAAAATGGAAACATATCCTTGTTTTTCCCTTTATCCTTTTTCCCTTGGTCCTGGGGATCCAGCCCGGGTTAGACAAATGCTCCCCCACTGAGCTGTTCCTGCAGGGCCTTTTCTTATTTTTGATTATTTATCATTTATGTAATTAGCCTGCTCTTCTATCAACTAGGGGAAAAACTCATTAAAAAAACTAAAGTGTCTATGTTGATTTTACTTCTTTCTTAATACACACACAATAAAAAAAAAGAAAATTGAGACATTTAAAGAACTATAAATGAAAATATTCTGCAATATTGAATTATAGATATTTTTGAGTATCTATAAATATAGATTATTTCTCTGAATAGTTACATAAATTCCCTTATGGGTGTGCTGTATTTTTAAGTTCTTCTATTGCTTGTGATCATGTAAATTTCTAATTTATTCACATATGAGATTCTGTGAGCCTGCATACAAATGTCACTTTGCACACTTTCCAGTCACTTCCTAGAGGAAGTTCCCAGCAGTAAATTGCAGGGCTAAAGATATTTAAGAGTTTTATAGCTATTGATAGAGTACATGTTAGCGAGTTGTATTTCCATCAACAATGCCTGATTTCTCAAAGCTTTATCAATGCTTTCCATCTTTTATATAAAAATGTAAAGTAATACTTTTCTACTTAAATTAATTTTCTTTGATTACTAGCTATATTCATCTTTTTAATGATATTTTTATATATTTGCTATATGTTTATATGTTGCTTTTTATATATTTACATCTTTTTTATGTTTGCTAGAATTTTTACTTTTTGTTTTGTGTAGTAGTAAGTTTCCTTATTGATTTACAAAGATTTTTTAACTATATAAAGGTTATTTTTTATCATATGGATTACAAAAACCTATTTCTAAGTTTGTCGGTTTACTTTGTAAATATTAGTGATATTTTGAGGTGTGCTTCCCTTCAACTGTATTCATCATTTCTTTCATAGTTTCCAGCTTTTAAATCATGTTGAAAAAGAAGATTATATAAATACTTATGGCCAGGTGTGATGGCACGTTCTGTAATTCCAGCACTCTGACAGGCTGAGGCAGGAGGATCGCAAATTGAAACCAAACCTGGGCAATTCATAACTTCATGAGGGCTGAGACTATAAATAGACACTCTGTGAAGGCCCTGAGTTCAGTCCAAACCAAGCCAAAGCAAAAAAAAGCACAAATAAACAAAAAAACTTACTTAGGCTTTCTGTTAGTGCTTTTGTAGTATACGTTAATGTTTTAAAATGACCTGCAGTTAATTTTTGTATGAGGAACGCGGTGCTTTTCCTACATGTTATCCAAGTTATTGCAGCATTAATTGTGGAGCTATCTAACCAGAGGCAAGTGGCAGTCTGGCTTGTTTGTTTGCTTCTTTCCTTCACAAAAAAAAATCATCTATCCTCTTTCCTTTATTTATTTTTCTGGAGGGAAATAACTAAGATTTGGTGTATAACTGAACACAGAGGAGACATCAGGGAATGTCATAATTCTGAACAGCCAGAAATGTTATCCAATGTACTCCAGCCTCTATACGTTATCTAGTGATGAACGTTTGTGAGTAACCTATCGTATTTATTTTCACTGAGTTCCTTGTCAGAGGTGAGAATAATAAGGAACCCTGTCTAGATTTTGGGGTGTAGTCCCTGTTACACTGAATTCATAACTATTTGCCTGTCACCCTCTAAATGGAAAACAGACTTAGTGAATGAAGCCCATGGATTTATTTCTACATGATTATATAACTTTTTTTTTTTTTAACCAGTATCGGGGATTGACTCATGACTGCCTGCTTACAAGGCAGGTGCTTATGCCGCTGAGCTAACTCCCCAGCCCCTGATTATATAACATTTTAAATGATCATATCAAGTTTCAACTTGTTAACTAATTTTTTCCTTTTAGGATGCAGTCATGTGTTTTTCCTCCTGCTTCTTCTAAGTACCCATCCATTCCTTCAAAGTCTACTGTGGGGACTCAGACTGATTATCGGGATGCTGACATTCAAACTGACCCATACTCTCCAGAATACGTAGTATGTCAGAATACTATCCCTGAGCTCCTGACCCTCGCTACTCTCACCTGGGGTGAGTTGGTAATTCTCTTGAATATTTGTGATGACAGTATTGTACTAATAGTCATGCAAGCTCCCCAGCTCTTGGAAATAACACACACACAAGCAACTCTTGTTTATGGAGCAAAAAGATAAACCACAGGTGGGAAAAATATCTACAAGTCATACACTGGAATAAGGGCAAATATCTAAAATATGCAAGGCATTCATACTACTCAATAGCAAGAAAACAACCCTAAATAGGGTTAAATAAAATGATCCAGGCACCCAACCAGACATTTCTCAAAAGAAAAAATAAAAGTGATCAACAGATGTATGAAAAAATGAAGAATTTCAGAGTTACATGTGCAGAGAATTATGAGAAATAGAATTATAAACTCCAGAAAGTAAGAGTGGAGGAGGGCATAGAGAATTAAAGCAGGAAAAGATACTGATTAAAGAGTTCCCAAAACTAAGAAAAGTATGAGCTCAAAGAAAAAAGTCAGTTGAGTACCAAGCATGGTGAATTTTTACTTACCAATAAAAAGAATAAAAAAGCATGGAAAACTATTAGAGAAAAAATTCAGGTTACTCAAAGAGAAAAACAAACAAATAAAAAACCAGATTGGTATTTTGTAGTATAATTTTTAAGATTTTGGTATAACGAAAATTTCAAACTTAGTATTTTTTTTTTAAAGCCAGTCAAATTTAGCAGTGAGGGGTGGTGGTATACCAACTTTAGTGACACTAACGTTAATAAGTTCTGATAACCCACTGCCATCAGACCAGCCAAACCTAGTATTTTTTCATAAGTCAAACTGATATTAAGCAATGAAGATGAAATAAAGGCATTTTATATATAATAAAAGTATCTATCATAGGATGTCGTAAGGATTAAACAAATTTATTTATGCTACATGCTTATATCTACAACCCAGAAATGCTATTCTTAGCTATATAGCAAAGAAAAATGAACACATAATTCTACTAACAGAAATGCATAGGTGTGTTCACCAAAAGACTTGGATGAGAGTGTTTATGGTGGCACCATACGTAATAACGTCAAACTAAAAGTATCCCAAATGTTCAATAACCATAGACTGGATGAATGATACACATGTAGGAGATTTACACAGTGGACTGCCATCTAGTAGGTGGCACTGGGTGACTCTTACAAATACAGTGCTAAACGAAGTCTAATGGAAAAAGGCACCCACACTGTGCTTCCACCTACCTAAAACTCAAAGCCAATGAGAATTGGGTTAATTCATTTGGCATGAGAATGGAGGGTCTGCTGGAGATAGGTAGAGGCTGGGAAGGGAGTCTGGTGGGCACTGTGGGATTTTGTCAGTGTTCCATTCTTTGATCTGGGCCATGGCTCCATGCGATGCTCATTTTTGTACCTTTCTATATGTATTGTATGCACTAATAAAAAGTTTGCATAAAGGTAAGTAAGAAATAATGACATTGTAAAGAAAAGATGTTATCATAAAAATTGAGGGTTACTATATGCTAAGAACTGTTGCAAGTGCTATACGTTTTTAACTTTTAATCCTCATGTTTTAAATGAAGAAATATTAAAATCAGAGATTAATAATATAAAGCTTTGGGAGACAAAAGAAATGGGTCATTAGGACTGTAAAGTTCATTTTTAAATAAACATTTGTAATACACCAAGCCTCTGGTAGAAAGACACTGTCAAGGAAGGAACATTATGTGTGAAAGAGAGATATAACCATAAACAATTTATGAAATAGAAACGAATGCTATGGATATCTTTTGCCCTATATTTAAAAACTCAGATAAATTACACACTTTTAAAGAAAATATGAGTTACTACATTGATTTCAAGAATAGAAGAATAATTGTAAAGATTATTTGTTAAACAAAAGAAAAATTTTTTGGGAGTACCAGCCAGGCCTAAATAGTTTTTAAAAATAAATTTACTACTCTTTCAAGAAGGATGTAAACTCCACTGTTTTTTTTTTTTTTTTTTTTAATTGGTACCAGGGACCGAACTCACAACTGTATGCTTGCAAGGCAGGCGCTTATGTCGCTGAGCTAAATCCCCAGCCCAAACTCCAGTTTTGCAAATTCTTTTAGTTAAGAGAGAAAAAGTAAAAGTTAATTTATTCATTTTATTCAGCTAGTATGGATTTGATCTAACAACTATATAAGGGTAAAACTAAAAGTGAAAATTATAGGACAGTCTTACATATGAAGAAATATGCAAAAATTCTAAATAAGATACCAGCAATCAAATTTTGTTATATTTGAAAAGAATGACATCATAATCAAATGGGTCATTTAGGGATATTCTAGTTTGTTACAACTTCTTAAAAACCAACAAATGAAATTTACCATTTTATCAGGAAATATAAGAAAAATGCTTTACTGGATGCTGAAAAAGTATTTGGTGATATTCAATATCTATTCATGAGACAAACCCTAGATAAAGCAGGAGTTAGAGGAAACATAGAAGCCTGATAGAGGGTGTCTACAGTGGCCCTTAGTAAACATAAAAGCACAGGTGAAACTCTAGAAGCCTTACCTCACAGTGCGGAAAGACAAGGATACATTATTCACTGCTATAGTTCAGTGATGGGAAGCAAATCCTAGCCACATTTAGCATGCTCAGGACATCTGGAAGTACGCGTGGCATTCTTGTTGGTAAGAATGCTGAGATGTTTCTGGCATGCAGTAGGCACCGGGCTGGGCTGCAGGGCGTGGATTGGCATGACCCTAAACATCCTGCACGGTGCGGGGCTGGCCTTCCAAGAAACGCTGCCCCGTCTGGCAACTGCACATTCATTGAGAAATGCCATGTAAATGCGTGACAGTGAGAGAAAAATATGAGTTAGAAAGATTAGAAAGGAACAGTAAAACTGTATTTGCAGATAGACAATGTGCTCATGTAGGAAACTTAAGGACATAAAGATCGGAACTTGAAAGAGAGTTTCACAAGGTAGCTGATTATGAAGTTAACATACAGAGTTCAGTAGCTTTGCTGCATGAGTCCTATCTAATTAGCAAAATTACTGGAAAAAATCACATTCTTTATATCAACACATAACAATGTATCAAAAAATCACTTAAATTACAATATGCAAGGCATTTATAGAGAAAATTATTGTTCTTTAAGAACATACGGATTTGACTAAAACAGGGAAAACTTCCGCTTGAATAGATAACGATTTTGTCCCCAAATAAATAATGCCTTCAAGCAATTTATCTAAATTCCTACTACCAATATAACTATTGTAAATTAGCATCTTTTCTTCCCCCAAATTATTCAGAAACCACAAGAACAAGGAACCATCCACAAATTCCATCTTTAGTAAGTGAAAGTTACATGTAATCTGTGAAGTGTTAACTATTTGCAAGGACTTCAGAAGAAGCCCAGATTGGGCAGCGGCAGCGTGGGAGGGAGTGAGGAAGCTCTGGCTGGGGGAGGGACACTGGGCTCTTGCAGAAGGCAGGAGCAAAAATACACTTCCTGAGAGGAATTTGGCAGTATCTAGAATTAACAGTGATCCTGTTTTACGTGGTAGCTGCCAGACTCTAGCATTTCCTCATCTAAGAATCCTAGAGAAACTCACATATGGGCACCACCAGGCCAGTACACAGATGTTTGTTGCAGCATTCTGTGTAGTCAAAAATTCAGGAACGGTCATCTGAGAAAAGGGCTTAAATTGTAGTGATATCCTAGATTTCTAAGTCAGCGTGACCAACTCCCCAAAACAGAGCCGAGTGAAAACAGCAACATTCAGAATGGTACACATAGTACAATACTACGTTTATAAATAGTAAGTAAAACTAATAATGTCTTTTGTTTTTATACAGTCATTGCTGGCCCACAGTTAAGCTGAATCTGTCTTCTGGTTTGCATTTGTTTTTATTAGAGGAACTGACGGTAGTGCATTAGCTCAGAGCTTGGACCGCTTGGACTCTGATTTCCACTTCTTGCCAGCTGGGATTTTGTGCAAATTACTTCACCTTTAGCCCTCAGCCTTTTTATCTGTAAAAGAGTAATAATTGTATTTATGCAATACCAATATATTGAGGGTTTACATAAATTTGAACAATGCTTGGCATATTTTAAGTGCTTAAGTAATGTTACCTTTTATTATTGTAAGTTGTAAATACATTAAGTCCGTATATAAAATACTAAGATTAATTGGAAGAAGAGTCTCAAATACCTTTTGTGTTTATTTTGGGAGAAGGAAGAGGGCAGTAGGGCTCAATATGGCTAAAAAGAGTATCAACTTTATTTTTTTTTTTAACATTCATTTTATAAGACAGATTTCACTATGTAGTTCAGGCTGGATTTGAACTCACTGTGTAGCCCAGGCTGGCCTTGAATTCCCAGTGATCTCCTGGCTCAGCCTCCTGAGTGCACCACCACATCTGACCTTCAGCTTCCCTTTTTAATGTTTTAACTCTTTTTGTTAAAAGAGGTGACATGCATATGACAAAATGTGTGTGCAGCTGTTTAAATGTATTAGTGATTTTTTTCATACTTTTAATATTTTAATTACTAAAGGTACAGGGCTGGGGATTTAGCTCAGCTGGATAAGTGCCTGCCTGGCAAGTACAAGGTTGTGAGTTCAATCCCTGGTACTAAAAATAAATAATAACGATACAAAATATGTATTTATATAAATATGTATATACATGATTTTGCATATGGATAGTCATATATATATATATATATATATATACATATATATATATATATGTATATAGACTCGATAGGATACCCCCGATGCCCATTGAAATTGCTTCTGGATTGGTAGTCAGGAGGGGTAGACTTCAGAAGAATTTTATCTTTTCCTATGATGTTTCAATTTTAAACACAAGAGAAAGTGAATCCATATATTATCTGGTTTTTAGAAATACTAATACATAGCAAAATATTTGAAACAAATAGTGCAAAAATTTTTGAAGTAGCTCATTTGTACTTTCCTGTATAATTATTTTTAAGTGAAAATAAAGATTGGTTTGTTGGGGTTCGCTGATCAAATGGGAAGCGTGTTCTCATCCCCATTTAGTTTACCAACTTTTGCTCCAGAAAAGATGGTACGGTAAATGAAGGCTATGTTTAGAGGTGTGGTCCACCATAGTGTGCTAGGATCCAAGCTTGGTCTGCAGAGGTGTAAGCAGAGTCAGGTCTCAGGCAGCACCTGTAAGCTGGTTGGAAGACACAGGCAGTGGCTCAACTGCCTGCCTCACCTGGGGGTCATTAGGTCTTTGAACTTGAAGTTGGACCAGAAGGAAGCCCTAAATTGAGCATTCATTGTGGGGAACAGAATGCCATGATGATGAATTCACAACTAATGATTATTCCTTCATTCTCTTTTATTTAACATGTATTAGCTCTTTACCTTTGTCCAATAAATTCTCAACATTTTCTTTGCATTTCAAAATATGAATTGTCTAGTAAGGGACATTGCAAGGTCTGATTATTCAGTGGTCACTGATATCCTCCAGTACTTTGCAGGATCTGACATGCAGCTAATGTCTGAGACAGCATACAGCACAGGCAGTGCAACTTGTGAGTCGTGTCTAGAGGTTGTTTCCTCGTATCACTGTGTCCTGTAGCAGCCCTCAAAGTTAGGGAAGTGGATAGGACCCGAAGGGAGTAATTTACATACATGGTGGTACGTGGCTTGTCCGCTTTTCTCTAATATATGACATTTCATCCTCCAGGTCGAGGTCTCCCAGCAGGGCTGGCTGAGGTGGAAATGATAGAACGGGCCCGAGAAAAGCGCGCCTGGGAAGCCACTCTCCCTACTCTGACTGACACCTCCCAGTTTGAGAAGAGGAGGAAGATGATGAGTGCAATGGAGAGGAAAGAGTGGGCCTTCAGAGAGCAGGAGATTGAAAAGTAAGTTCAGTATTGTCTGGTCAGTTGTTCCTGCACCAATGGGAGATAGTCTATCTGTCTGTCTGTCTGTCTGTCTCTGTGTCTATCTATCTATCTATCATTTAAACCCAACCACACATTCCTAAAACAGGAATTCTCTCTCCAATAATATGATGTCTCCTGGTATGTGAAATTCTCCATGGAACCCACATGTCATCAATGCCTTCAGGACATCCCTGAACCTCCCCCCTCTCTCGTTTCTTTTAGAATCTGTCTGGCCTGTCCCAGAATCCCACTGACTTCTGCAAATCATCTTTCAGAATGACTGTTCCTTTTTGTTCATTCCCAGTGCCACTGTCCTTAGGCCTTGCTCCCTTCACAAGCAGCCATCTAACTAGTCCCGCCCGGGCACTGGGTTAAGTCAGGACACCCGGGTTCTATCTAGAGCTAACAAAGAATAACAAGATATTTCCATTTAAAGGCAAGTGAGGGATTTCTTCCATTAAGAGATGAGCTTGTATGACAATGTGTATACAACCCAGTATGCCAAGCCACTTCTGCTTTAGCTTTCCACCATGTTAACTGATGTATTTGAAGGAACAAGCTTGTTGCTGATGTGTAGAAATGATGAGACATTATTAGAATCCCAAATGCCAGCTCCCTAAAAGCTGAGGTCCCTTACACATGACAGTTATGGATACAGCTTAGTATTGTCTCAAATCTGTTCGTGTTTTTGTAGCCCCTTCTGATTAAGCATGAATCTATGTGATGTTTTGGTAAAAGTTTGCAATTTAATAGAAAATAGTGTTTGATACAAGGTAAGTATCAAACTGCCCGTTTCTGTTTTATTTTTCTTTTTAAAAATAGTTTCTTTGAGACACGGTTTCACTATGTAGTTCAAGCTGGCCTTGAACTCACCGTGTAGCCCAGGCTGGCCTTGAACTCACGGCAATCCTCCTGCCTCTCAGCCTCTTCAGTGTTGAGTTCACAGGTGTGTACCACCACACCTGGCCCAATCCTATTTTCAAAGATTTAAATTTATTGCTGTACTTTGTAGAGGCGTAAGTTTTGCCAGAAGGCATTAAAAATATTAAAAATTTGTCTGACCAGAGCGGAGGCATCACCTAAGAAAATAAGCACTTTTTTTCACTTAAGAACAGTTTTAATAAATATGTTTTGAATCCATGTTCTGGGCTGTGTGCTGTGAAATAAGAAAACAGGATGAATAGGAGACTTTTGAGTCTGGGTTCCCCTGAGGCTGGATGCAGGGGTGGCCCAAGGGTGAGTAAAAGCCCTTCATGCCAGCACCTCTGGGCAGGGTTTGCTGGGGGACGGAACAGTCCGCCCTGGTCAGATGCGTGAGCAGGGAAAGTAGCTCTGCGCTGGGTGTTGAGGAGTGACTTGAGGAGTGACTAAGAAGCAGTGACATAGACAAGGTTTCCAGTGACGGTGAAGGTAATTTCAGAGGCAACACTTACGGCAGGCCGACTATGTACAACCTAATGTTCTAAGCCAGCAGTTCTCAAAGTGTGGTCTGCAACCCAGCCACATCTACATTACCTGCTTGTGAAGGGGCCAAGACCTAGGGACAGTGGCACTGGGAACCCGTCACGCATGCAGGTCCTTGGGTCCCGTCCCAGCCGTGCTGAGTCAGCGTGGGGCACAGCACCCCAGGTCACACCAAGCCTCAGATTGCTCTGAGCCACCAAATAGTTTGAGAAAGACTGTTTTAGCACACGTATAATGCTCACAACTTTAAGGGATGGTGGCGAAGTTGAGAGCTGAAGCTGTACGGTCACAGGACCCTCAGCGGTGGAGACTTGTTCTGAGGAACCTGTGGATAGATGACTTCATCCTTCTGGACAACTCAGAGTACAGCGGCACAAACCCAGATGCTGGGGCTTGGTTACGCAACGTGGCCTCTTAATACAATAAAGAGAAACAGTAAATACAGGATGTATGTGGTTGCTGCAGCCCTACCATTTTATGTATTGTTAGCATAGAAATGCATCTTAAAATAAAAGTATACTGCAGTAAGTTTAGAAGCCAGTACCACAGCCATTGGTTACCATGGTCCAGTCCTGTGCATGGCCATGTGTGCTGTCCTTCCGCGTGTCCAGCTGGGAGGGGAACCCGCCTCTCCTAGGCTCCCCACAGCCATGCCAGTGGTGTGCTGTGTGATGATGTTACAATGGCTGTGACATGGCCAGGCCAGGGGTCTTTTCCCACTGCTCTGTTTTGTAGGATCATGGAACATGCAGTCTGTCACTGACATGGTATGACTGCATTTCTCACTCTGGAGAGAAAGGCAGCTGTTGGTTGATGTGTGGCTGGCTCCTTGTTAATAGTGCTGGTCTCTCTGTACTCATCTGTCACAGTCTCCTCACCTCCCACATGCATTCACTTTGAGACGCTCCACTGCCATGACAGATTCGAGATCTCTCCTGTCCCTTGGACAAGAACAGTTGGCTCCCCCTATTGCAGCCCAGCCACTGTGCCAGCCTTTGCCACTGTGCCAGACCTCAGTTCTCGCTGGTCTCCGTGCAGTGCTCTGCCTTCAGCTCCCTCCCCTCCTCTGCCCTGTTGGGCCTTTCTTCTCAGACTGCTGGCTGGGGCTTGATGTCACTGTGCTGTCCATGCTGGGGCCCGCACCTGTCCTGCAGCACAGCGCTTCTGGGAAGGACTGTTGTCTCATGCATTATAGTTTCCTGATTTGAATATGGTGGCACCTACTAAGCATTTGATGGTTGAGTGCATGACTTTTAAAAAGTAGCAAAAACATGTTCAGAGCTCTTGTTTTGAGAAAGAAACCTTGAAGGCTGTATGGAACAAGAGAGAGAGACCAGGTTAGGAGAGAAATGAGAAAAACTCTAGTTTGGAAACAGCTACATGATGTGTTTAGAGGGATAATCATTAGCAGAGGGAAGACCATGTGAGAAGAGGAGTACATTTCTGGGGGAACAAAATGAACCAGGTTTGTTGAGATTGTCGAGGGATAGCCGTAGTTTCCAGTAGACAGGAATGTTGCTTCAGAAACATCTGAGCTGGAGGTGCAGATGTCACGATCTTCTGCACCTAGTTGGATGTGCATGAGCGAGGTCCTTGGAGAATGCATGAAGGGAAGGGAAACAGATTTCCTGTGTACCTGCCGTGTGCCGGTTGCTGACACCGTCACACTTGCCCTAAGATAGCATGCAATGCCACGTTTTCTCTTCATTCCCCTAATACCTCACCTGCCCGCAGTACCAGCCAGCCTGGAACTGTCTGCAGACCTCTTGCTTTCCCATAGCCCCCGTGTCCGGAGAACCTTCCCACCTCCCGTCGGCCTGGCCCCTGTTCTCTATCCTTGCCCGCTGCACCTGACAGAGTCCTTGTGCCATGGAGACGCACTCCTGCAGCTGCATGGCTTTCCCACCCCGTTGGTCTGTCTTCACACTTTCGCCGGCGTGGTCTTCTCAAAGGAGGGGAACGCGGTGCCCACGAAGATGACCCTGTTTGAGGCAGCAGCCTTTCCTTTATTCTCTAGAACACCCTCTTTGAGATGCCATGTATTCTCAATGCTCTGTGATTTTCTTGAAGACTTCAGGAATTTCGCCTACAAATTTTAAAAGAGCTGCTGAGGAAACGGGACGAGAATCAAAATGAACTGAACACGAAGCACTTGGATGCCCAGTGGTGTAAACTTCAGGAAGAGAAAGAGGCAAAAATGGCCCAAATCCAGCGCACACACATCTCAAGTAATGGTGTAGTATGAACCAGGAGGAGAGAGGAGGGGGCTGCGCTTTGGGTGCTGAACCAAACCTGGTTTAGGTGTGAGAAATTCTGTGTTGGGCTTGGGGTGTATCAAGTAAGGGGTGGGAGATAAGTTATTTCTCTAAAGTAGAAGAGTAGAGAAAAATTCCTCACTCAGGAAATCAAATGACTGTGTTCCAACAGGAAGTCAAGTTATTGACATTAGCGGGTGTGTGTGTGTGTGTGTGTGTGTGTGTGTGTGTGTAGGTTTTCCGTATTTATTGGTTAAGATCCTGGATAAAGAGGTCTGTTGCTTTTTTCCACTATTGCTTCTAGAGGTTTAAGTATCCTTTTTCCTAACAACATTCTCTAAGAAATTTTAGTGCCACCATGTATCATATATGTTCACGTACTCTCTACATATTTGTACTTTATGAAAAGAAGGAATAAACAGCTTATTTTTAAATTCAGTACAGGATAAGCATGACTCAATTTCAAGTTACAATTTATACTAAGATTTAAAAATTATTAATATTTAATTTTACAGTTTTCCTTACTGGGAAACTTTTAATGTAATTTACTTATAAAAATTGTATCAACTATATACACTCAATTAGTGTTTGATCTATTGATATACACAATGCAACCAAATTTTAAACAATCGTTCAAGACTTGCAAAAGTAAAACAATTACAAAATTTAAATTCTGTAAAAATTACTCATAGTGAACTTAACCTTTAACTTTTCCTTGATGTGAGAAACGTTGACTTTTAACCAGCTGCTGTGTATCCATGCAGATACTGTTCACATCCTTTCTTTTCAGTGTGTGGTGTAACTAGCGATGGAGATAGCTAACTTTTATAGATAACAGTAAGATATAAACTCTTTTTAATTCTAAAATTCCAAGTCATGCGCAAAAGCGCTGGTGGTGAAACATGACCTCTGTTTTAGAGTTACATTCTTGCTGTGTTGAGTCATCATGAAATCCATTCATTTCAGCAGCTTCCAAATGAATCAAAGTAGAATTGATTTACTTCTCTGCATTTCTAATTCACAGCAATATTTTGGAGGTAACCATAGAGATATATTTTATTTCAGCAATCAGAAAACTTGAGAGAAAGAGCAAAGATATAGAAGGGAAGTTCAAGAGGAGAGATATCATCGAGGAATATGCTGATCCTGCATCGCAGGTCTATGGGCCTCTGTCTCGCCTTGGTCGTTTCCCGGACAACAGCTCAGAGGATTTTGTGGTAAAAAATCACTATCTGAATACTTATGAAGGTAAACAATTTATATAGCTAGAAGTATAGTATAAGAATATTATCTTACATGTATGGATTAAAACATATAAATTTAGATTAAAAGCTAAACATCAAAAATATTTGTAGGAAACAGCAATATGTGCACATATTAAATATGTACATATTTAGTACGATTAATGTGAGTTCATATAAATCAGTAAAAACTGCTAAGACCTAAATAAGCAAATGGACACACTATAGAATAATTTTAACAAGAAGCAAGCTCAACTAGCCGCTAAACATTTGAAAATGTTTAGTACCAATAATAATAAAAGTTATGTAATAATGAACTAGAAAAAAATTTTAGGTCAGGTTTATGAAGCAAACAAGATACATATAATGGAATTGAGCCTTTACCAAGAAATATCAGAAAATTAGAGGCAAAGGGATGGATAACAGGAGATAAATTCATGGAGAGAGCAATATTTTTTATGAAGCACACAAAACTTGTTTAAAAGATTTAAATTTCGGTTGCCAAGTTGAAGCATCGTGTGGCCAAAATTGTGACATGATTTGCTGAATACACGGTTGAACTTATGTCTCTGGCTGACTGTTTCCAAGCAGAAGATGATAGATTGGTAAACATCTACTTAAAGTGGTGGCCCCATTTATCATGGGATTAATTTTCTATTGCTTATTATTGAACGTATTGCTGTGCTTTAGGACAATGTTTATTTCAGAGTATATTTTTCATTTTATGATCTAATGAAGAATATGAATTAATTATAGAAAAATATGCTTTACTTTCTAGGGATGATTCATTCTATTATATAAGATATATCTTATCAACAATTCTAATGAAACCACTTAGGAAACAGCTACTAAAATTAACAATGTAATTTTAAAATAGCAATTGTAAGCAATGGATACTAAAAACATGCGTTTCCTTCCCACAGGTTTAGTTGAACTTGAGTCAAGTCTCCCACGTTTTGTTACACAGCTAGTAATCAAACCTCCAAAACCAAAAGTCATTACCACCAAAGCAGGTTTCCTGAAGAGGGCAGTGAGGATGGACTATGAGTTGGCAGAGGTCCATAAGGTATCGTCATCATCTGGAAGAAAACATGCTTTTGGTGTGATGTGTCGGTAAATGTTGCACTCCAAAAACTGCACTTTGTCTTGGGCAGTAGTGGCCAGCAGGTTTATCATGCAGCCCTGTGTGCTTTTTCCTCTGGGAACCTTCTCTTCTGGACAGTGTCCATGATGTGTTGACCCACTGTGCTTCCCTACCTTCATTTCAACATGTGGGAGAACTGAGGACTATGCTCTTGGTTTCAGAAGTCAGGTTGTTTTATGAAAATGTTGCCAGTTTTCTATCTGTATCATCAATACACTGAGCAATAACAATTTCCAGCACTATACTGGGATATACTGTTGGTGTTAATAGTTGTAATTGGCTCCTAATTTTCCCTTTTTAGGTAGGTTATCAGGGCATCGTGAAGAAAAGAAGCCATGTTCAATTTCTTTTTCATCTAGTTTAAAACTTGACTAAACAAAAAAGTTCAATGGGCGTCATTAGCATGCACTGGAATCCCGGGCTCTGTCTGTTCAAACAGTGCTGCTGGAACCCACCCTCAGTAGGTCTGAGTAAGGATGTTGGAGAATTGGGGTGTGTGTGTGTGTGTGTGTGTGTGTGTGTGTGTGTGTGTGCACACTTCTAGGTGATGCTGATGCTAAGCCCAGGAACCACACTTTGAGTCCCACTGATACATGACATCACTGTTTGTTACATGTTACTTGTTACATCTATTTCAATAATATAACAAGAATCCACAAAGAACATACTTAATGTAACAAAGAAGACTTTGACAATAATTTACATATATCTCTGTGGTTCATTTCCTCCTCCTCTCCCTATCTTTGAAAACTGTTCACCACTTTCTCTCTTTCTGTGAGAGGTTTTTTTGTAGATCTCTATTATTAGGCTATGGAAGTTCCCTTTTACTTCTAATTTATTAAAGCTTTTAATGATGTGTCTGTGTTGAATTTTATCAAGTGTTTGTTTGCATCTAGTGAGATAATTATATTTTTCTTAAAATTATTATGATAACATTTATTATAAATACTAATTTATCCTCATGTACCTGGAATAAACTTGCCTTGGTTAAGTTATATTAACTTATTTTTAATAAATTGTGGGCTTTGACTTACTAATGCATTGATTAGGATTTTTGTATCTCTATTCAGGGGTGAAACAGCTTTCCCATTTTGACTCTGTGTAGGGTGGGCGTCAGTGTTGGACGAATCTCCTGAAATGAAATATGGAGTGTTCCCTCTTCCCTCTCTTTTGAAAAAGAGTTTGAAACAGATTAGGATGATCTATCTCTTTAGTTTTGAAGAATATATGCATACAATTATCTAGGGCTGCATATCTGGGTCCAGCTCCTCTGTTTATTCAGGCTGTTTTTTGTAGTTGTTGTTGCTGTTTGTTCTGTCTTTGGTATGTCTTTTTTTGTTGATAGCCTGACATCTGGCCTCAGGAAATGGAAAATGAGGTAAACTTGACTGCGAGTTTCAGCTGTTGAATGTTTGTCGCAGCTAGAGGTATCAGAGGCTTCCTATTATTTTAGTGCCCATTTTTAAAATCTTCCCTCTTGGATTTGGGGCAAAATGCAATTTATATGGACTTCTCAATTTAGAGTACTGAAGAGAGTCACTGAATATCAGCATTAGAGTTTCTTTTAGTCTTGAGGTTACATTATTTTGAGAATCCAGAACTACAGAGATGAAGTATTTTTTAAAAATACTTTATGAACCATGTCGCAGAAGTCATGGAGGAGAAATATCCAGAATGGCAGAAAGGAATTGCCACAGTGCAGTATTTTTAGGACACTCTTGCTAGAATTTATACTGGAATGTATTGTTGATGCTTTGTTGCTTGTCATAAAACAGACTAAAAGAGTCTTCTACCAATCAGCCTTTTTGTCTGTTTATGAAATCCATTTGCTAAACATATTTGCTTGTTTTTTGACCAAATTAAAATGTATTATTGGATAATATTTTCCCTAATATTTTCATGTTCATTTTCACTCAGTTATACCATTCAAAACAATTACTAGGCTGGATTTGAAGGGTTTTGTTTATTTGATTATGATTTTGATTGGACTTCTTAACCAGACATTTTCTTAAACTGTGAAAATAATTTTTAATTTTTTTCTCTAAACTTCAATTAATTTTTTCTTGTATTTAAAATTTATTAGTTTATTGACTAAGGAACATCTTTATCATTCAAAAATCTATGAGTTATATAAGAATATTAAGTGTTTCCTCTCTGTCCCTGTCTTTCTTTGGAGACAGCCCAAGTTTGTACTTGCATGGCTATCCTTCCAGAGACATTTGTGTATGTGTGTACATGGCTGGGTGTACATATGTGTGTGTATTTATGAATATACATGACTATAAGTACATATAAGCATATTTTAAATTCTTTCTTATACATATGTCAATATACAAAACACACTGTTCTACACTTGCATTTTTTTTTTATTTACATGTTGGGGATCAGAAAAACATCCTTATTATCTTTTATATTTTCACAATATAACTTTCTATACATTTTCTAAAATTATTATTGTAGTTAGGGGTTGCAAGGAGAACAATTACATACTGGACATATAATTTATAATATTATTTCATGATGGTCACCCAGAGTTAAATACAAGAAAGTACAGGAAATCTGTCCACAACACTAAAGACCGAGAAAATCTAGCCGAGGGCCTGGATCCCACAGCAATGTCTTTCATGAGTCCAGCTGAAGACTGAGGGCCCATGACAGTGACTCATGCAAGTTTATTTTACAGATCTGCACTGGGAAGGCCCAAAAGTCAGTGGTGGAAGCTAGAAAGTCTATGCCAGTGGGGTGAAGGATCTGTGCTAGCAGGCTGAGAGTTCTGCACTGGAGCCAAGAAGCAACACTCAAAATAAGAACCAGGGTTCCCCTGAAAAGTACCACAGCCATCCTCAGTGACAGTGAGGTCCTGAGCACCTGTGATGATGAGAACAGTCGAGCATATATCGGGAAGACAGGATGACAAACTTCTCTTTATGATTAAACAGCCCACATCTTTCCCTCCTGAGCCAGGAAGCGGTACTTAAATTAAGGACCAAAGCTCCCCTAAAGAGAACGATAGCCAACTTTCAGCGACAAGGTCCCGAGCTCCTCCAACAGTAAGGGCAGAATTTATATCAGGGAAGCTAGCTCTGATGAGCTTCTCCAAGAGAACTAACAGCTCCAAACAATAGCAACACTTAGGAGAATCCACAATGCTACTTCTCTTGTTTATGCTGGCAACATTGGGTCGTATATACTCAACCCCATGCCGATTTAATTCATCTGGTGTTTAAATTGACTACCAGTTACCAACCCACTACAATTATTTTACCAGTGTCACTGTTTTTGACAGTTAGTTAGATTATAGCTTTTTAGTATTACAAACAATGGTGCAATGATTAGTTTATTTGCATATAATTTGATACACGTGCAAACACATCTAAAAGATAAATTCCTAGACAGGGAATGGCTAGATCACAATGTATATGCATTTATAGTTTTGATGGACATTGACAAATTTTCTTACACAAATGATGCATCAGTTTCAGCAATATGTAAGACTGCCTGTTTTCCATGTTCTTTTTCACCAAAATCAGTTATAAATGGCTGATTTGGAAATGGTTTCATGGAGTAGTAAACTGGTTTTTAAAAATGCTTTATGAGCTGTGTCATAGAAATCGTGGAGGATGAGGCTCTTCTCTTGAGATATTGGACTTCACAATTATTAAATACTTTCAGACCGCTTCTGCTTTCTGTTTATGCACTAGTTGTTTGCTACTAGAGAACTCATACATATATTGGCTGTCACTTATGTTTGAAGAAACACAGAGGCTCCATTACAATTATTAGAGTGTTTAAAATTTCTCTGTATAGTCTGCATATTTTTACTAGTTTCACTTTTTAGTTTGCTTTTAAAATATCATTTATTTATATTTTCATGGGAAATAAAATTTAAAGTTAAAAATTAAAGAATGACTAAAAATCAGAATTATTGGTACTTTTAAAAATATTCCCCTATGGCTAACATAGAATCAAACAAAATCTTTTTTTATTATTATTTTTATTTTCCAAATCCATTTTATTTCAAGGAGAGAAAGAAAGAAAGAAAGAACTAAAACAAAAATTCAAAACACATCAATTAGGGGCCCACAAAGTACATATATTGTGCATTGTCATCCCCAAATCATTCACCCAGAGCACAAGACATCTGCATTCAATTGTCTGAACAGTACCAGCACAAATCTCTTCAGTGAACTCAAAGAAATCAGTAGAATAACTATCTTAACTATTTTTACATTCATATACATATACATGTACTTTTTCTTTCAGCTGAGATAATATGTTTACACATGTCTTATTTATTTCATCTAATTAGTATGTTCTTTTTAAAAAAATTTAAAGAAAGACTAAACAAAACAGAACATAGGTAGAAATAATACATACATTCAGACAAAAAAATAAACAGTAAGAAATCATTAGTTGATGTTTGCATATTGCCGTTTTACTAATAGTTGTTCAAGGTACAAGAGTGGAATATGTAAAGTGGGAATTCAAAAACCAGATTGCAAACAGTTCTATTCAACTGTCCAACAAAAATAGTAACATGGTTGTCAATCCTATACACTTAAACCTACATGCAGTTATCCATATCTTCAATGATGTTGAGATTGAATAAACCCAAGCAGGCTAATATCACTCTGAACAAAGAATAATACTATTGCTGGGTTTCACATTCTGACATTCTAGGATCAGCACTGGGTATTTTAGTGTCTCTTTTTCTTCAGAGTATCTATTCATTTCATCATATGTCATTAGATCAGGTCTCATAAACTGTTTATAGATTCTACACATGCATGAGTCTTAATATGTATCTCTATCCTTTCTGTATTAGAGGGAGAAACAAAACAAAGCAAGGCAAAACAAAACATATTCCTATAAACACATGAAATGAAAAAAAAAACCATATAAGACCATTGTACAAATCGTTC